AAATTTGATGAAATTAGGTTTTCATCAAATTTCATCAAATTTCCTCAAATTTCATCAAATTTCATTTTTTTTTACAATTTTTTCTTGGAGTAACACTTTTTTTTTCAGGTAGAATTTTCTTCTGTGAATTGGCATTGCCATTGTTGAACTATTGATTGAAGAAGGTTTCCTTTTATCAAGGCCCTTGATGTGATTAACAAAATGTTATTGTGGCCAACCCATTTGCTAAGAGAAGGCAGCTAGTTCCTTTGTCTCTGGAACAACTAGGTGGATTATAGTTTTTTCCTTCCCCATGTAACTCCTAGGATCAACATGAGATAGGGTGAAAAAAAAGCTTTGGCAACCTTTAGGTATATGGTTCCAAGAGAAAATAAATTCCAATCATTGCCCCCTAAATTTATTTGCCAAGGAAACGCAACAATGAAACTATGAACCTAATGCCCATTAAGCCTTAATGTTGTGGTAGTGGGAGATATTTAACTTTTTTGGGGGGCACCCAAAACATATAAACAACATATATTTTATCACCTGGGGTTTAGGGGTGCTTGCCATTCCCATCCCACCAGCACTGTTTTGCAACCATCTCTGCAGTTGAGGGATTGCAGCTGCTGTTTGAAAAAAGACAGCCTCCTACACCCTGCCCTTTTAACAAGGACTGCAGCCCACTGCTATCTGTACAAAAGGTGTGGTGGCATTGTTTAAAGAAACCCTTTGAGCAAGGGTTGCTTGCTGGATTTCCCTTTTGCTTGGTTGCCATGAATCTGCCCTTTTATCAAGGGGTGATAGGTTTTTCTTTTTTTCTCATTTTTGCCCCTTTTATTTGTCAAGGGGTATAGGCCCCCTGCCCCATGTTCCCTTTCATTTATCAAGGGATCTCTTTGGCACTTTAGGCAGTGCCCCTTTCTTTTTCTTCTTTAAGGAACTGGTCCACAGCATGGGACAGGAACCTGTAGGCATAGGGCTTGCCAGCAGGAATGTTCTTCTCATTCCATTGGTGTTGCTCCCTTTTGGTTGTAATGGGATATACCCTGGCACCACCCATGAAGCACTCTTGGAGGACTAGGAAGCTGTCATCAAAGATCACTCCCCATTTTTGCTCCACCATAAATGAGAACTTGCCATTCTCTCCAGTTGGCTCTGGTGTTCTCACAAGGGAGCTCCATCCATCCCAGCAGCCTAGACTTTCTGGGTGGACTTCCTCCCTCCATCTATTTTCTCCACAGAAGGAAAGGAGATGGACCCTGTACCCAGCTCTTTTGAGGGATTGCAGTGCCCTCACATTGGCAGGGTGGATTTTCCCCCCCTTCTCCAGGACATTGTGATAGTCAATGCACACATCCCTTTGATCAAGGGATGCTTCTTTTCTCCTTTTATCAAGGAATGTTTCCTGGCCCCTTTCAGCAAGGGGTGTGGGATCCCTGAGGGGTGAAGCCCTGGACTTCTTGCTTGGCTGTGTGGTGGAAGATGCAGCTGCACTTTTTTGGACCCATTTTTTTGTTGTTCTTTCCACTTCTGCCTTGCTGGGCCCTAGCTGCAGCTTGACAGAGACACCTCTTCCCTTCTGGTTGTCCCTTTTACTTCTGCAGTCCAGGTCATCATCTGAGCTTTCCACCTCCAATTTGGTTTCCCTTTTCTCAAGGGCTTCTGCTTTCTCTGTTTCATTTCTGTCATCCTTGAGCATGTCATCACCTCCTGTTTTGTTTTGGTCTGTCTTCTCTTCCAGCCTTTCAGCAAGGCTTAGCTTTTCTACCCTTTGAGCAAGGGTTGGCTCTGGAGGCTCTTCCTTCTTGGTCTCTTCCTTCTTGACCTCTTTTTCTTTTTTCTCTGCTGCATTTTTTTTCTCCTCCTCCTCCTTCTTAGCAGCAAGTTCATCTTCTGTTTTTTTTTCTTCTCTTCCTCTGCTGTTCTGGCTGCAGCAGCTTCATCTTCTGCTGCTTTTTTTTCTCTTCCTCTGCTGCCCTGGCTGCAGCAACTTCATCTTCTGCAGCCTTTTTTTGCCTCTCCTCCTCCTCAGCTCTTTCTCTGGCAATTCTCTTTGCCTCACCTCTCTGCCTATACAGCTCTCTTCTTTTGTGAGAAACTGTGCCTGTCCCTGAAGGCCTTCCTTTGTTGTTTCTCTGCTTTGCCAGTGGGTGAGCTGATGAAGCTCCAGTTTTCCAGTGCCCTGGCATCTCCTCTTCCTCCACTTCTACTTCCTCCATTTCTTCCTCCTCCCACTCCTGCCAGGTATCCTGCCAGGACCTATCCTGCCAGCCATGGCTTGACCAGTCATGCCAGCCATGCCAATCCCAGCCCTGGCCCCAGTCTTGCCAGTCAGACCATGACCAGCTTGACATCCCTTTTATTTGGCAAGGGGTGCCAGCTACCCTTTGATCAAGGGATGCTTTTGTCCCCTTTCAACAAGGGGGTGTTTTACAAATTTCTTTCTTTTTGGGCGAAACCAAGTAGGTGAGCGAATTGGGATTTTTGCTTTCTAGTATTGAGCCAAAAGGGTTGCTGAGAACACCACATGGAATGTCTTTTTCTTGTGGCTAAAAAACACATGCCACTAGCCAGTTACCATGGGCATGTCTTGCACCCACCAGCTGAAATTAATTTACCCTTGGCAGAGGTTGTGGAACAACAAAATTATTAATGGGTTTCACCAAGACCTTATTGATTGAAGTTCAACCAAGGTTAACCACCCCCAAAACATATTGTACTGAAGGTTGATGTGAATGGTTTACAACCATACCAACTGATTGATTTAGCCATGGTTACCCCACCCTAAAAAAATATTTTTTAGTAAGGGTTTACCCATGCTAACCCCAAAAAATGTTACTTGTTAAGAGGCAGCCAATTAATCAGTTTCCCCAAAAAACATATTTGTGGTGTTCTTAGGGGTCCACTTTCAGCCCCCCCTTCAACTTTAGCTCTTTTTCACCGACCTACCCTACTAGTCTGCTGTTTATATGCTGCAGCTGGTCCTTGTGTTAAGGAATGCTGCTGCTTCTTGTCTTTTTATCAAAGACTGTTGCTCCTGCATGTCCTTTTATCAAGGAGTGTTGCTTGTATTGTTACTTTTAACAAGGGTTGTCTTCTTTCTGGCCTTTTATCAAGAATTATTGTTCCTACTGGTCCTTTCATCAAGGATTGTTGTTCCTACAGTTCCTTTTAGCAAGGCTTGTTGTTGCAACCTTTCAGCAAGGTTTGCAATTCACATGGTGGAGCTCGACTTTTCCTACCTTTTTTCATATTGGGTCCCTCCTGTCCCTGGCAGCAAGGGCTGTTTCTTGAAAGCAAGCTGGTCCTTTCAACAAGGACTTGTGTCATCTTGTCAGCACAGCTCAGACCTCAGTTGCAAGGCTTCTGCTTTGCTCAAGTTGTCATCCTTCAATCTCTCATAAATTGTGTTGATGACCTTTTTGTACTGTGCTGACCTGATACTGCTCACTTCCACAATGAGCTTGCACTTTCCTCCAATCTCCTGGGTGCCTGTGATGTAGCCCCTTTGTGGCTTCCTGGCAAACACTATTCTCAACTTCTTCCATGGAAGCTTTGCACTTTCACCAAGTGCTGCTGCAGGTTTTTTCACTTGCATGCCTTTGCCAGAGGATGCTGGTTTCTTCATGGGGCTGTCTTGTTTTACCTTTTTTGCTCTTGTTTTTTTCTTGCAATCTTTGCTTTTCGATGTGAACCCCATGGCTTTTGCCAAATTTGGTGAATGGCTTTCTGCTGGTTGAGAGGCCCCAGGAGAGAAAACACTTGAGCCTTTTCTCCTTCTGAGGAAGCTTGGGGATGGGGAATCCTTAGCAGATGAAGCATGGCCTTTCAACAAGGGGTTTTCACTACCTTTTACCAAGGTTTGATTCTCACCTTTTACCAAGGTGTCTTGTTGACCTGTGCCCTTCCCCTTTTGGACTGGGCTGTTGAACCTGGGATAACCTTCTGAGTCCAGGCTCACATCACTCACATTCTTTTTCAGTGCCCTTTTCTTTGGTGCATCTTCTTCAGGCTCAAATTGGATGAGGTCTATGACCTCCTGCAGCTGCATGAGGTCCCTTGAAGTGAGCTTGGCAGCAGCTTTTCTCACCTCATCAGAAGACTTCAATCTTCTCATGTGCAGCAGAAGCACCCCTATTCGCTCACATCTGATGTTTGCCCAGACTGTTCCATTCCATTTGCTTGTGTTGACACTGGGGTTGTGGCACACTACTCTGAGCAGAGCTGCCCTGAGAGGGTTGGTATGGATTTCTGCACTTGGTGAGACTTTTATCAAGTCTTTCACCAATGGTAAAACTTGGACCAGACCCTTTGGATCTATGCTCTGATTTCTAGAAATTGTGTCATACAGTCCAAATTCTGGAAGCATGTCTTCATGCTTGCTGAGGGCTTGGAAGAGGAGCCCTGGGTCGATGAAAGATTTCACAAAATTTCTGGCACCACCTTTGCCACCCATCCTTTCAACAAGGATTGCTTGAACTGTGCCACCTTTGAACAATTATGCAAGCACCAAAAGCTGAAAGCCAAAAAGCTGCAGGCTGCCAACCATGGAAATTCAATTAGAAATTCAATTAGAAATTCAATTAGAAATTCAATTTTACAATCAATTACTTGCCCACTTAGGAATTCATAATTTAGCTGGAAAAAAATCAATTAGCAAATCAATATCATTTGGGCATACAAATTGACTTTTTTCAATTAGGCAAATATTGAAAATATCAATAAAAGCCATGTAAATCAAGGTCAATAGAAAAAGTGATGAGTTAATTGAATAGGATCAATTGTCGATGCTCAGGGTACATACTTTTTACCTTTCAACCATGTCATGTTTGTGGGAAATTCAAAGCAGCTTTTTTTTCCCGCATGGAAGGCACAATCAAAACTGCCTATGTGTCCGAAGTGCGACATAGAGGTCGCCTATGGCCGAGGCAGCCACACGGCCGATGCAGCCGTGGTATATGGCCGATGCAGCCACGTCGTCTCGTCTATGGCCGAGGCAGCCCCATCACTTGTCTCCATTAGTCCTCTTCATTGTCATCGTCGTCGTCTCCCAAAGGATCCCAGACGTCGTCGTCTTCCTCGTCATTGTCGTCCTTTTCCTCTTCGCCTTCCTCCTGCTCATCCTTTGATTGCTTGGCTTTGGATTTTGCTTTAGCCTTTGGTTTGGCCTTTCCCTTGCCTTTGGCCTTTGCCTTTACCTTTGCCTTCGGTTTTGCGGTCTGATTCACAGGTGCCTTACCACTGCCACCGCCGACGGCTTCACTGTAAGCTGACGAAAACAAGCTGGACTCAGGGTTTGTCATTTCCTTTTCAAGCAAAGCAAGCAGCCGGTCTTCAAGAAGGCGTTGGTGCTCCGGGTTGAAGGCAACTCCGACATACCCTACCCGATTTCGCAAGGCAGCCCAAGCCATGCGGCCGTCCAGAGGTGTCAGATCGATAATGATCTTCGCGAAAAAGTCGTGGATCAACTCGTCGCAGTGCTCATAGGGTGGACTGTGAAAGCAAACTGGCTCCAAGCCATTGCTGGATCTGCTGTTCTGCTTCTCTTCCTCCTTGTTTTGTGTCTTACCTCCGACAGCTATCATGTGTTTTTTCCCCAAAAGCTCCTTTTTTTCTTTCCAAGGCAGCTGCCACTCAGAAGACCAAGCAGGCATGTGCACGTTGGAAATCAAGTCGCCAGTGGTTGAACCTGCGTAGTGCTTTCTGTCACGGCTTGGCAGGGACAACCTTTTGGATGACAAAATGTGACATGACTCCATCTGCTTCAGAGTGCAAGTTCCACGGAGCCGCTTCTTTCGTGCGGATAGCGACGACTCTGAATATCCAATCATCAGGGTGTCTACGCAAAAGGTCGGCTTGTCATCTTCCTCTTCTGCATCTTCTTCTCCATCATCCTCCGCTTCTTCGTCCTCCTCTTTGGTTTTGGCTGTTCCTTCTTTCCATGGGCTGAGCAACTTTTTCATAAGTCCTTTTTTTCCTGCATCGAAAATCAATGCAACTTCCCCTGCCTGAAGGTTGGGGTTGGGAGTGCCCATTGCGTCTTGCCGCGCAGCAAGAACGCTCTTGACAAGCCGGGTGTAGAGGTTTTCACGAAAGGTTGGGGTTCTCAAGTCTGGCCGTGTGGTGGGCTCGCCATATTTTTTCAAATCAAAGTGGAAGAGGGCCATTCCTGTTTGATCTCCGCGCAAGGACATGAAAGGTGTTTCTTTCAAGACACTTTCCAATTCCACATTGGTGCGGTGATCGGCGACAAATCGCACATGCTGGTTGAGGATCTTGCGCATGTGCTGTCTCCACATGACCTTGTCTGCCTCACTAAGACCATTGTCTTCCACTTCTTCAGAAGCCGGAGCAGCTTCAGAGGCCGCAGCAGCCTCAGAGGCCGAAGCAGCCTCCAGTTCTGTTTCCTGTCTTTCCTCTTCCGTTCTTGCTTTTTGCTCTTCATCGCCATTGAGTCCCTCGGGCTTGTCCTCTTGGCGAGTCATTTTTTCAATGGTTTCCATGGTGGTCTTTAGAGTTGTGTAATTCAAGAAATCTTCCACCTCGTGTTTGCTCTTGATTGCATCCTTGTATCTTGCGTCATAGTGGGATCCAAAGACAAGTTGATCCAGGAACTCGCAAATTTCAGAAACACTTGGCGGGCAACCCAGCAACCAGGCCGTATCAGCCTGCGTATCAGGGTATGGCGAAATATGCTTTCGCAACATCTCATAGGAGCCGCAGTAGCTCTTGATGTTGTCTTTCCATTTTTTCTCCAGCTTCAAGTCATTCAGCCATGTGTTCAGTAAATGCAACAAAGTTTTGCGCTTCATTTTGAGGACTTCAATGTAGCTGGCCCTTGAATCTTTCAGCTTGCTAATAACAAAGTGTCCACCATCTAGAAAAGACATGCGGACGCCATCCACCATCCCTTCCAGGGACCAGGCAATCATCTCAGGCGTGCCTCCTCTGTCAAGCAATGCTTGCAAGGCGTAAATTGATTTCCAAGCAGACGAAGTGAGCCAGTTTTGGTCACACCATTCCAAAACTGCTTGACACCTGGGGATGCTGAGAAGTCGGCGATGGATGGACAAAGCACAATCGACAAAGCTTTCCGAAATTTTCTCTTGATTCGACGCAAGTTTGAGATGCTGTGTGTACAGAGCTGCCAGCTTTTTGGCACCCAGGCTTGACTCAGTTTTTTTTTTTGGCTTCGTAGAAGCCTGCAATATCAAATATACGCTGGCGCAATGACAACTGAACCGACAAACCCTTTTCAACCATCTCTTCACGAATGTTTTGTGCACGCCAGTAGCGGTCTTCACCAACAGGACAGATTTCGAACACAAAGGTCGCAGTGAGGATGCAACTTCTGAAAGCGCGCAATACTCCAACTTTTGCTTTGCTTTCAATGGCTTCAGCCAGTGCAAACAGCAAGGCGTGTACCGGCTCTGGAGGACTGAGACGTTGGAAACCGTTTTGTGGACGTTGGCCGATGCAGCCAGGGGTTTCCAAAGCGACTGTGATGACAAAGGGGCACAATGACGGCGGTTCATTTTTGGGAAACCAATAGTCTTTGATTTGCTGCACCTGCGCTTCGTTCATAGGCACTTTGTGCGTGGCCATGAAAAGGAAGTCTTGATGGAAAAAATTGGCGGCACACTTATAGACGCCAGCGTTTTTCAAGGCCGAAGCAGCCTGAGTAGCGTCGAGTGCTGCCTCTCTGCCGCCATCTTTGACAGACAAAGGGTCTGCTGTCAATATGTCTTTGAATAATTCGTGTGAGAAAATTCGGGCCAAAGCATCATGCACCTTAATCCAATGAGCCTTGGAGGGACCAAGGTCTGGCTCGCTTTGATCTTCGTCTTCGCAAGGTGCAGGCAAAGCCTTTGTCGTCTTTTGTTTCTTTTTTGGCGGCATGTTTCTGACAAACTTGAGCAGCAAATAGGCACTGGCCGAATCAGCCAGGCACCCCGCCCCAGACTTAAATTTACAGGGAATGAGCTACGAAACCGCTGCGGATTTTAATTGTCTGTCAATACCCAAACTGTTTGACTTGATTCAATACTCTTAGACGGTCCCTTTTACTTGCTGTTTTAAGTTTTAAACTTGAGACTTTAAATTAGCGTTTAAAACTTCCTACGTCTTTAGTCGTCTACTTCCCCATTTCATATCATTATATTTATTTTTAATAATTTAACTCCCCGGATTGGACCAAGACACCTGATGTCCCTGCTTGCTTTTTTCCCCTTTCCACTGTCCCTTTCCGTCGTCATTGACCTGGCCGAAGCAGCCAGTGTCGCACGGCCGTCTTAGCCATGCTGCCGTCTGGCCGAAACAGCCAGTGGTGCTACATTGGTGTCCCTTGCTACTTGTGGACTTATACCTTGACTTTAAGTAGACTTGCCGATGGCATAAGTCTGGAGATAGTGTGATAAGTAAAACTAAGTAGGAGATTTTTTGGTGTTACTTATAAGTTTGTTAGCTACTTATAAGTAGGGATAAGTATTGTAAGGTGGTGGAACATGAAAAAGTTATTTTTACTTAGCTACTTGTGTTTTTCTTGGATTTTGAAGGTTTTACTAAGTAGGTTGCTTTTTTTTTATCGTTTTTGTATGATCGTAGGCGTCATGGCTCAAGTCTTGAAAGAAATAATTTCGAGCCAAAAGTTTTGCATGGTGTCAAGACCTTACCGCACTACGATGAGCTCCAGCGAAAACAATTGGAACGACTGACGCCAATTGTGAAGAAACATTTCATCTCTGTGGAGATGGCTGGTCGCATCCTGGATTCTTTCTCCGATGCGCGGAGTGGAAGAATGTTAGATGATTTGAAGGCATTGATTGCCGAGCAAAGCGAGTCGCAGGAGGATCGTTCCTGTCGTGCTGGCTTACAAGACTTCACTGCTTTGCCGAACTACTTATCGAAGGAATGGTGGGGTAAATTAGAATCTCGCGCCGCTGGAGTGTATAAACTTGAGCTTTTGACTAATTTTGCAGCCACTTTGGGTTTAAAGAATCCAACGGAGGCTTCCTATGGCGCTTTGGTGGCATTGTCTTTCTATGCGGACAATGCTGAGGTGTGGCCAGAGTCGGAGCAGGTGAATCTCTTGAGGACGCATAAGGAACGCATGCGTCGTTGGCTCACCAAGGCGCCAGGTCCCAATGTCCGTTTGGAAATTTTGCCTGAGAATCCTGAGGAGATTCCTGTTTCCTTATTTGCGAAGGTTTTTCCGACGGGATTGGTGCGTGGTTCACCGCAACTGATGGATGTTTCCAGGTTGCGCCGTTTGATCGCTGATTTTCGGTTGAGGGGACCGAAGGATGGGACGGTGTCTTCTACTCCGTCCCTGCCTGCAAGTGGTCAGGTCGATGCAATTGCCTTGGTGCATGCTGCCGCCACTTTGGTGGCGCGTGCGCAGACGCAGCCTCGACCGTCTGAAGTCGATTTACCAGGTTTTCGAATGCTGGACGTAAAGAGAGAGGAAGCACCGATAGCACCGCCGGCCTTGGCATTGGAAGACTTTGAAAAGCCAGCACCTGTGACGGAGAGCAAAGAGCCCATGGCGAATGTGGATAAATCTGCAAGCCAAACCCCCGGAGACGCAATCGCTTCTCTTCGTGAGGAGTTAAAGCAAAAGGGAAAGGTGTCGCATGCTGATTGCAGCAGGGACGCGGGACAGAAACCGCGCGCTGCAGCTCCGAAAAAAGGTGCCGCCATGGCTCGTCCAGCCTCTGCTGTGAAAAAGATTCTCAAGCGTCCAGCTGCAAACAGGGATGTCGGAGCGCGCGTGGTGGATGATCGCGCCGCTCGACGCGAGCGACTGCTTAAAAAAATCCCTGAGAAAGTTTTGCGGAAGTATAAGAATGGATGCTCTCGTTGCTACCACCGTGCGTGGTGCACTGTGAGCTGTTGGGCCAAACGTGGCTATACCCTCGAGTAGACGCTGTTCCTTGGTCTTGGCGTAGAGACAATCAACTAAATTTGCGAAGAAAAAGGAGTCTATTTTGGCTATCGATTGTTTTGGAAATCAGGGAACGTCTTGCAAGGGAGCAGGGGTTTTGCAGGCTGCTGTTGCGGAGATGTGTATGTTTCTTTTGTGCTGCAATCATATAGGGTTCAAACGGTTTCGCGCTGGGAACGCAAGTCGCGCTCCGGAGGTGAGGTCTGTCAACTTTTTTTTGGGGGAGGCTTTCCCACATTCGTTGAAATGTTGGCATTTTTGTTGCGCTTCATTCTATTTCTCCCGGCCGGGCATGCCGTTCCTCTATGATGGCACCTCTGTGGTGGAGGTGGCTGTTGCACCTGCGGGGTGTAGCGAAGCATGGACCTGCGTGGTGCATGTGATCTCAGCATCTGTGCGGTGATGGGTATGGGAAGACCTGCGTGGTCTTCGGGAATCACCTGCGCGGTGGTTCAAGACTAGCACCTGTGCGGTGCTTGGGGTCGCATCACTGGCGACGTGATGCTGATACACCTGCGTGGTGTATGTCGAATCACCTGCGTGGTGATTCAATGCGATACACCTGCGTGGTGTATCTATAATCACCTGCGTGGTGATTGCAGATGATACACCTGCGTGGTGTATCTCATCACCTGCGTGGTGATTGCGTGCGATACACCTGCGTGGTGTATCTATAATCACCTGCGTGGTGATTATATACGATGCACCTGCGTGGTGTATCTCATCACCTGCGTGGTGGTTGCCGATGATACACCTGCGTGGTGTATCGAATCACCTGCGTGGTGATTTGCGCAGCACCTGCGTGGTGTTGCAGATGATCATCTGCGGGATGATCATGGGGAGGACACAGCATGCATGGACCGGACATATCCTCTTTGCTTGTCTTTTTTCCTTACTTGTTGACCTTACTTCTTTTGCGTCCTGTATTCACTCGGTTTCCCTGGCCAGGTACATGAGCAGGACATCTCCGTTCTCACCGAAGCAAGTGGGCATGCCGTCTGCTGCAGATGCATCGGCAGAAGAGGAAGCTTCTGAGGAGGACCGCTCCTCAGACGCTGAGGATGAAAGGAATGGGAAGCGAAAGGCGCAGCTGATGCCAGCGCGGTCACGTTCTGAGGAAGGTGATCCAGATGCACCGGGGAAGCCACCTTCCCGGAGGTCCCGTTCCCGCAAGTCTCGGTCCCGCAGGTCCAAGGACCGAAGCCGTGGACGCAGCAGAGCGAGAAAAAAGAAAAAGAATTCCTCCAAGGAGGAAAAGCAAGAGCGCGATCGCACCAGGGATCGTCGTGGTGAGGATCGTCCCAATTCTCCGCGGGGCAAACCGCCCCCGAAGCCACAGGAACAGGGTCGTGACGGTTCGAAGCAGTCACCTCACAAAGGAAGCAAAGGGCAGGGGAAGACATGAGCCAAAGGCAACCAGAAGCAAACCAGGTGCGAGATTTGCAAGACCAAAATCTCAGCGCACCCCGCGGCCATTGATCAACATCAGTGGCTGAATGAATATTGTCTCGCCTGCCAAGCATACAACCGAATGACGCCAACGCAGAGGCAAAAAAGTGACTCATGGCAGAAAGCCCAAGAGGTGGCGAAGAAAGTCAAAGGTAACAGAACGGAACCGAGTGCCTCTGTTGCCAGGGAGCGGGTGCCTGTGGTGGATCTGGAGTCCGAATCGGGAATGCGTCAGACGCGCTCTGTCGCAGGATCTCCAGAGGTGCCTCGTGGTCGGGACCGCCATGGGGAGCCTCGCAAGGAGAAGAAGCGTCGTAAGGCGTCTTCCTCTGGTTCCAGGTCCGTGTCTCCCAAGAGGAGTCAGCGCCACAACGTGGTGATTAACTTCCGCTGAGTCCGGCACATCGCGGCGGTCTTGACTCTGACCTTTGCGTGAAAGCTGTGGGAAAAAAAAGCAGGTATTTGTCTGCAGGGTTGCCGTAGTACCGTGAAGTAGAAAGAGTGGAAGAACATATATGTGTAGGATACGCACGGGGGATTGTAATTATTACTGGCACCGATTCAAAACACACATACGTTCTCTTCTTGAAGTGATATGGCTGTTTCTTAACCTATTGGTGCTTGTAGGACGCCGTTTTGACTCGAACTTCCGTTCCCATGTTGTGACTTTCCACATGCCGCCGACTGATTTTTGGATGTCAAAGGAAAGACTGCGGGTCTTTCGTGATTGCCTGAAAGCAACCACGACCACTCCTGAAGTTCTTCCGGAGGGTGATGACCTTTGGAAGGATGGTTGGAGAATTGTGGTGGAACTGTTGGATCAAGCAGAAGGCATGGCGCACTCGCAAGGGCAGCTGGACTGTGCGAAATATATTGAAAGATGCAATCGCATGATTGAGAAAGTCATGTCTGAGGATATGGCTGGCCTTCCTGACGTCTGTCGTCTCTGGAATCGGAACACAGACTGGGATGGGCACTGGCCGCGCTTTCTGGAAAGGGTGGGTGCATATCACCTGCAGCAGGTGGAAGAAGCGATCCCAGCTTTGGAGCAGCTGCGGCTGCGCTGGCAGGAGGAGACTGAAAACAGTCTGCCAGAAGCCTCGTGGTTGTACCAGGCTGAGTGCCAGCTAGAATCGATGAGGGAGACGTTGCTGGCTTTGAATCGGTAGGGTTTGGAATGTGTCCGAAATGTGTCCGAATGTGTCCGGAAAAAGGAAATGTGTCCGGTTTTAATTATAATTTAAAGAGAAATGTGTCCGGAATTGGAAAAATAAATGTGTCCGAAATGTGTCCGGAATTTTCTGATTTTGGCTTTTTTTTTCCTCCGAATGGGCTGTTCCGAAATGGATTATATATAGACACAATCAATGCTCTCGCTGGTTCTAGATAGGTCAACTGGACTGCAGTTTCCTTCGCGGATATATGGTCTCTCTCACTTACCTCTGCTGTCTGCCAAGCCCTTCGACAGCACTTCTCCGCAGCCATTTGGGTTTTTGGACAGGTTAGTGTGCGGACCTTTGTTTTGCAAGGTGGCTTGCGGCATGGCGGACCGTCGCGTATGTCGCTTGTGCGGCCTGGAGCATGCTTCTGCTGCGGGCAGGATGCATGGTCGCTCCTTCTTTTGCACTGGTTGCTGGTCAGCAAAAGCGATGCTGCAGCGCAACTTAGGAGACAGGACTGAACTGAAAGATTTCAGTCCGGCCGAGACGCATTCCTTCTTTCGCGCCATTGCGAAGGAAAAGGAGAAGCAGGGAGGTCGCATTCAGTGGGTCACCGTGCGGGCCACACTTGTGAGATCTCTGACAGATCGCAGGATCTCCACTTTTCGTGCTACGTGCACCCAAAAGGAGTTACCTCTGTCGGTCTGGGTTAACCAAGGCTGGGACAAGACCCTCGTGGAAGCGTGTCCCAATCGGTTTTCCGATGAACTGGGCACGCAAGTGTACGCTGTCCCTGTGCGGGAATTGTCGTGGGGAGAAGAGTATGCAAAGATTGAGGAGCAAGTCCTGCGACATGAGAGAGAGGGACAGAAAAGCAAAGGTGGAAAAAAGAAGAAGGATAACGTTGCCAACGCAGAGGCGTCATCCGATGGAGAATTGGATTTGCCGGCTGCGGAAGGCAGTGTGTCCGATAAGAAAGGAAAGCCGGAGGTGGACCGCAAGAAGTTGTTGGCGAAGAACGTTGCGTTAGCTGACAAAGCCGCTAAGGCCTTGGGTCCCTTGCAAGGCACGGCCACAGGTGTCTCGAAGTTGCTGGAAAAAGTGGAGAAAAGCGGCTGTGAGATTCCTGAGGGAATCAAACAGTCGAAAGATGATTGCATGGGCAAGCTCGAGACCTGGGCGACGGCGGCTCGTGAGTGCATCAACGTGCATGAGTCGACCCGCGAGCTGTGGAAGGACGCTGGTGGCGATCTGCTGCCTTTGACGGCTTTGCCGTTCGAAGGCAATGATGTGAAGTTGCTGCTAAAGCAAGCAACGGAAGTGCAGAGCGCATTGCGTTCCCTGCTGCCCAAAAAGGAGGCGAAGGCGAAGGCGGCGCCCAAGGCCAATGCTGCGGCGAAAGCGTCGCCCAAGAAGAGGGCAGCTCGCAGCCACGACACTGAGGGCGGTGACAAGCGCCGCAAAACTGGCAAGAGCCCCCCTTGAGTCTGCGGACTGTACCTGTCGTGTGTGGTAGCTGCGATCCTTAGACCAGTTTCGCTTTGGGCTCTGTGTTGCTGTGAGCAGCAACATGTTGTGAAACGTGGATCGCACGTAGACAGGCTGTCCCTGTGAGGGTGCTGTGTCAGACTCCGTCTGATATGTGGACTGAAGCTTTATAGCCGTAGATGGATCAGAGCGCACGGTCCTGCGGCTTCCGGGAAAAGTCGTGCTGCGCTGAACCGGTTGGTGTGTACATGCCAATTCCAGATCTTTCCATTCATGCACGAATTGGTGAGTTTTATACTATATAACTATATATATATATATATTAATGTAGGTGACTACCTCGCAAAAGGCAAGCCATGCCATTGATTACACAGGAAAGACATATATATAACGACGGGTTATATATACGCAGAAAATCTAACATAGATATATAGTCTAAGCAAGAATAATACGTCTGCAAGAACCTTCCTCGACCGCAAACCGAAGTACCATGATTGCTATATAGATGGCCGTGAGCATGTCATGTTTCTCTTCTGCTGCATGTATGGTTCACGCGTGTACAGGTATGTAAAACACATGAAAGCGAAAGCGGGGTCGAAAAGAAGCCATGGAAAAAATATACTACTAGATCAAAACGCCAAACCTTCGGAGCAATTTGAATTTCTGCGTGAAATTCAAGGTGTGACAGCCACCGCTGCGCGCCGGATCATCGCGCATCTGCGAGATGATGGACAAGGACGTGGAACGTCTAAACGCAAACGGCTGAAGTTTCCCAAGGTTAGTGACGTCGTAACGACTATAACCTTCGGAGATCCATGTTGCCACATGGCTGTTACTTCTGTCCCGGACTTGCTGCAAGCTAAGTGTGATGGTTCGCAGTTTTTTTCTGAGTCCATGGCATATGTTCTCAAAGAACATGGTCCGCAGTTGCATCTAGTCCTTGCTTGGGACGAAGCAACTCCAGGTAATGTTTTGCAGCCTGATTTGCAGAGAAAGGCAGCAATGACGTATGGAGCCATTGCGCAGATGCCCGTGCTTTGGGCTGATGATGCTTGGATGACACTTGCTGTCATTCGGACTCGCGAAATGCAGAGCATCGAAAATGGCTATCCGCAGTCGCTTGTTCACTATTTACGGTGGCTGAGGCAGCAAACCCAGCATGGCTTCACGCTCGTTCTGAATGAAGAGCCAACCCTTTGCACCATTGCCCAAATCTCTCTGGTTGCTGACGCAGATGGCTTGCGTTTGCTTACCGGTTGCAAAGGAAGTTCTGCTCTGAAGCCATGCTTCTTATGTCAAAATGTTTTAAACGGACATGACAAAGTGCAGAACCACGTGCACATCAGTTGCTGCGATGTGCATGCTTGCCACTTGCAAACGCAAGACAATCTTATCCACATCCAACGTCACCTTGAAACCTTGCTGTCTCGCAAGGAAAGAGAAGAAGCGGAAAAACTATTGGGATGGCACCTGCATGCCTTGTCGGCGTCTATTTTAGTGCAAGAAGATCTCCGAAACTGGATTCCATTATCATCCTTGAGGTACGACTCCATGCACTGCTTCCTGGCAAATGGCATAGTGCCTCAAGAATTGGGGCTCTGGTATAATGCTCTTTTGGACAAGACCTCCTGCGACATCGATACAGTACGCAGATACGTTCTGCAATGCTGGACAGCCTCCAAAGAGTCGAGCTTGGACATCAACAAAATTTTCACAAAGAAAAGATGGCAGAACCAAAGAGACTTCCGCGGAGATGCATCTGAAGCTCTGTCAGTGCTACCTTTGATGGTTGCATTTTCCTGGGAAGTCATAGTGCCGGATTTTCCAGCCATGCTTCCCCACTGCGAATGCTTGACGGCGCTGTTGGCGCTGATATGCTGCTGGACTGATGCCAAACGCGGTGGAAACCTTCAACTGAAAAGCATCGAGATGATACGGTTGCAAACAGTTCACCTGAACAAATTTGCCTCTGTGTATTCAATCGATGTCTGCCGTCCCAAACATCATTAATCTTTGCATCTCCCACTGCAATGGAATGCACACACACTGTGTGTGGACTGCTTTCCTGCAGAAAGAAAACACCGTCTCTTCAAAAGAATTGCAGAGACGTTGACAAAATTAGACGGATTTTCCGCTTCTGCCTTATTGGAAATGAATCACATAGACGTCTCTCAACATGAGAACCGAGGTTCGTTTCTTCCGGTCCTGCGTGGACCAACTGCTCAGTGCCATGCCCTGCAGACATGGTTTGGCCAAGACGCTTATGTTGCAACCTCTGTCGAATGCAAGGGTATCACGTTTGCTTGTGGTCAATACAAGATTCTTTCGGCCCAACAAGCAATAGAAATCCACGGCGCGGTGGAATCCCACGGCCGTTTTTTCCTTTTGTGCCAACCACTGCAGCCGCTGCCCGCTGCGAATCCAGCTCTGTCACATTGGAAACTACACCCGTCCAGTGACAATACATGGCTGTTGCCTCTTGACAAAGCTTTCCAAACCGTGCCCGTATACTTCTTTAGGAAAACGCGCAAAGACGCTGAAAATGTTCTCACATTTCTACATGCATGATACCTGCGCGGAAAAAAAAGGGAGAATGGGATGTGCTAATTTGGCAATAATCGTGGAAAACCAAAAAAACATACAAAAAAGTTATTTCTACTTATTTATACTTATTTCTACTTATATACTTGCTTATAAGATAAGTAGCTAAGTAACTTTAACTCATGTTACAACTGGACAAGTAGCCGGGGACACCAATGTACCGTCTGGCCGAAACAGCCAGTGAAGATTCGCCCTGGCCGAAGCAGCCAGTGAAGGCCAGTCAGCACATGGCCGATTCAGCCATGGTGCTGTGGGCAACTCGACTGCGTGCAGCACCTCCTGCAGCACCTGGCAGGGCAATATGCGCCCGGCTGATTCTTCCCACATCGGCAACATGCTATTGCCGGGGTCATCCGCTGTGCCGTCTGCCCTCCGGTAGCACGGTGCTGCTCGGCACGCTTCATCTTTGCCTGCGTCCAGCTCGAATCCGGACGTCGGCCCCCCCAAGGCGGCGGCCCGGCCGATGCAGCCGGTGCCGCCGGCTGGCTGCCTTGCGCGGCCGAAGCAGCCGCCGCGGCCTGGTAGTACGGGTAGTACCACCCAGCCTGTTGCTGCCACTGCAGCTGCTTCACCTGATTTTGCAAGTCTTTGATCTTGGCATCAGTGGAAGTGCTTCGCCGCCTGCTGCCGGATTTTTTGGAGGAACTTCGTCGAAGTTTTTTGGCCTCGCTTTCTGTGTCCTCCTCCTGGTCCTCCTCTGAACTGCTTTCCTGTTCATTGTCATTGTCGTCGTTGTCGTCGTCGGCCTGGTCGCCGCCGTAGTCCGGCTCTTCTTTGATTGTGGATTGCTTTGGCGGTCTCGTCGACGGCGGCGGCGATTCCTTCTTGACTGGTTTTTTTGCAGCAGACTTGCGGTACAAAAAGACGACGTTGTCTGGAGGCGGCGGACGCTCGTCATCGTCGTCATTGTCGCCGGCGGGCGCTGCAGAACCTTTTGGGACCCAGTTGCTCGACGACAAGGCCGATGCAGCCTCAACCTTTCTTTTGTTTGCCGTTGAAGTTGGTAGCCAGGCTCGGGCGTCGTCCATGGCCTTCAAGCGTTGCAGGAGGTCGTCTCGCACTGCTTCGTCATGAGGTTTGTTTGGAGGGCCTTCGTCCATGAGCCAGTCCCAAACCGTACCATTCGGGTAGACCTCCAGCAAGACGGCAAGGTCTCTGAAGTCGCTGATGCAGTGCACCTTTTTCTCGTTTCGTGGATCGGCGCCCCCGAACAGGACAGCTGTCTGCAGGCTTTTTGAGCTTCCGTTCATCATGCTCTGCAAGCAATCCAGCCTGTCGTCGACGACCACGGTGCCATTGGAGCGGCGCGCGTAGTATCCTTTGTTGCTGTTCTGATCCGTCAAGAAGACCTGGTCCGAGGACAACCCAAGAGACATCGCGTGTCTCACCACCCAATGCTTCTCTTTGTGTGGGAACCATTTCACCTTCGAAATGATTCTCACAGCATCTTCGCCATAGCAAGCCTGCCACAAAAGCAGGAAAGCCCATGCTCCTGGCATCGTCGCCTTGTAGATTTCCTCGCCGTCGTACTTGACATCTCCATAACGGGTTAAGACGCCACCACAGTCGATACACAACATGGGCGCCCACCCTGAGTCCATGGGGCTTGGCATGTCAGCACTCCAGGCCGAAACAGCCTGTGAGTGCAGGCAAGGTTTAAGCCGAAACAGCTTATTACCTTTCAAACTTACACGCTAAGCCTCTGAGCCGAAAACAAACGACGAGAGACGACATGACGGCTTCTAAGGAGAGGGCCCTTAGAACCCGCGCTGACAGCAGCGACGTGTGTAAGGAGACAGGGCTGTGAGAGGACTAATGTGGAATTTATATTTATGTCTTATTAGTCCTCTCACAGCCTTCTCTTACACACCTCACTGACGACGAAGGCGAAGTGGCCGAAGCAGCCAGGGTGGCCGAAACAGCCAAGCTCAACATGACGACCTGTGAAGACGACGACCTCTCCTTACACAGCAGGATTTTGGTAAAACATGCTGTGTAAGGAGAGGTCATTTCGTCCTCTCCTTACACAGCTAGGGGACGTCCCCGATGCTCGGTTGGAGAGGACAAACAGAGGACAACAGCTTTTAAAACCGAAACACTTAGTAGTATTACACATTCGTCCTCTATTCGTCCTCTCCTTACACAGCTAGGGGACGTCCCCGACCTGCGGTTGGAGAGGGCAAATCGCCCTCTCCTTAGGATAGGGTTTTTGATAATTAACCCTTAGGAGGTTAGGGGACGTCCCCGAATTAGAGTCTTAGGAGGTTAGGGGATGTCCCCGAATTACCCCTTAGGAGGTTCGGGGACGTCCCCGAATTAGAGTCTTAGGAGGTTAGGGGATGTCCCCGAATTACCCCTTAGGAGGTTAGGGGACGTCCCCGAATTAGAGTCTTAGGAGGTTAGGGGATGTCCCCGAATGAGGGCCCGAGTCTCCTTAAGAGTTATTTAAATTCCTTATTATGTCAAAATCCCTTATATGACCAAAAAAAATATACCCATTTGAATAGCTAGTATTAAATTTAAATCATGTTACATACAATAATTATAATATTACCCCTTTAGGATTTAATACTCTTTGGGGTTTCATAACCTGGTCCCAAGAAGGCCACGGTCAGCAGCCACTATTTTCCAAGAGACCGTCTGTCTTGTCGAAAGCCTTGCTGGCCGAAGCAGCCAAGCTTCTGTGGCAGAAGCAGCCACTACAAAAAATAGTTTAAGGCAGGCCGAAGCAGCCTGGCGACAAGCAGCCCGAAGCAGGCGACGAGCAGGCCGAAGCAGCCTGACGACGCCCTTAACTAAGCCTCGGCCGCATCAGCTTGGGTGAGTTGAAATACCCAGGTGGCTCCTGAGAAGTGTCCAATCTTCAATTCATTGTTTACTTCTGATCTCTGGACTGCCTTGTTGAAGGACTCCCACAGGTTCTCACGAAACGTAGACCATCTGAAGCCACAATAATTCAGCGGGCAAGCGTCGAGATAGCTGATGAAGAGCGTGGCCACATAGAAGTCGCGCTTGGTTGCATGGGTCAGGGGCAACTTGGTTTCTTCCACCGCATCTGGCAAACCAGCGACAATTCGGCTGTCTGGGAAGCTGTCGGGATCTGTGTAACGCAAAGTCGTCAGCATGTCCAGTGCAATCACAATCTGCCATTCAAATTCAGATCTGATGTCTGGGGCCAGGTGGCAGTAGCACCAAAAAATGGCATTGCGAGTGCATTCGTACACGTCTTCCATCTCTGCGAGACCGAAGAAATCTGCTGGCTTCTCTTTGACAAAAAGCTGTGTCACATAGACATACTGACAGAAGTTTGCCTCGTCAGTCTCCGCTTCTGAGCGCAGCAGAGGCATCACGGAAAAAGGAAGAGAGGCGACGACAACACGGTTTGAGCCAAAACTTGAGACCATTGTCAAATGACAAGTTGAGACAGGTTGGAACTTGAATGGCACATGCCAGCAGTCTTGAAGCGAGAGAGTGACTACGAAACACATAGAAACAGCTAGCTGCGATCTTTTGACTTGACAAATCCCGCGTCAAGGCTGTCTGATTGTAGGTTAATTACAAATCGGCCACACAAGCCGCGACAAAAGCTTCAGATTGGCCGCAGCAGCCAAGGTCAGACTGGAAAAGGTGCCAGCTTGGAAATCAAGCCAGCTGCGTACAAGGCATTTTGGAGCACACAGCCAACCAAAGGAATCGGCACGCAATTGCCGAGCATTCCTTGCAACTGAGTCTTGCTTACATGTTGGTTCCAATCTGGCATCTCAGAAGACTGGAACCCAGACACCTTCAACATCTCATTTGTAGTCATATACCTTCCACGACTACTGATCCAGAAGCCGCCTGTCTTGGCGCGAGCTTGGCTCAAGGTGCGGCTGACATCAATGCCAAAGGTGGCATATTTTTGGCTGCAGCCGACGTCTATGGCAACAGGAACCTGTCGTGGGTCAATGCCCTCCTTGTTAACTTTTCGGCAGGCAGCCAAAGCCAAAGCCTTGGCTCTTTGATTTTTCGGCAACCGACCAGGCCGATCTGCAGCCTGCATCGGGTCCAAGGCCTCTGACAGCCTTCGCTTACCGAGTTTTTTGGGCCACTTGAAAGGTCTCCTGCAGGAGTCTTTGCGGATCGCGACAATGAAGAGCCTTTGTCTCTTTTGCGGGATTTGGAAATCCACAGCGTTTAAGACTCCAAGCCAGACCCTGTAGTCCAGCTTCTCTAACGTGGCTCGGATGCCGCGGAGTACCGGTTTGTTTTTCCGGTGGCAGAGACCCTTCACATTCTCCATCAGAAAGACCCTTGGTTTGTGCCGCTTTGTATACCTCAAAGGCACTTTCAGCAACCTCCCCCGGGGATCTTGGAGACCTTTCCTTTTTCCCTGTGAACTCCATGGCTGGCATGGCGGGGTACTAATGTATACGTCCACAGGGATCTCATCCTCTGGCTTTCGTTGTTCGGCATCGTCGAAAAAACATTTTGGCTTGTGAGCAGCTTCCAGTAGTTTTCTGCAGTGTGGGTCTGTGTCGCTGCAAAATGAAACTTCCACCGGCAGCTGCAACCGCTTCAAAGCGAAAATGCCTGTGTCCAAGCCAGAGAAATCACTCCCCACACGAACCAATCGGGGAACGCGAAGCTGGACAGGCATGGCTGGAAGCAGCCAGCCAGGCAGGCCGCAGCAGCAGGCCGAAGCAGCCACCCCTGAATGCGAAACAGCTTGATTTGGGCGAAGCAGCCAGGCGGACCGAAGCAGGCAGGAGGTCTGAAGCAGTCAAGGCAGCTGGCCGAAACAGCCAGGATGACCGAAACAGCCACTAAGTATATGACTTGAGCCGACAAAACCTGGCAGACATGTTGCAACACATCAATGCGAAAACGAACAGTAAAACCCACAAAAGATTGAAACAATTATAAATTGTATGCCATCGTTTATTTCATTGCTGGGGGGTTCGGGTTTACAAGTTAGATTTAAAGAGAACCAGTTGAAGACCAACAACACACAGGTGATCCTCCCTTTTTTCTTTGCGCAAGCATGCGTCGTCATTTCATAAGCCCGGAGCACGACTCTACCATGTCTGCGCGACGAATGCGATGCAAGAAAGTCTGGATGGTGAAAATTTGCTTGTCCCCTTCACTGACCGCATCTGTTTCATCCTCATGAATGACTGCGTATGCTTTGTATTTCGGAAAGGTCCTTTGCTTCGCCTGCAGCTGTGCCACTGTGCCGGCATTCATTTTGTGAAGTTGCCAACCATGCCCACCAGGAAGCGCTTGCCGAAAATCTTTCCAAAAGGCATCATGCTTTTCTGCACATATTTTGCTTACAAGAACAACTTTACGCACCGAAACAGCGCGATGAAATTTCAAAGCAGAACCGTTTCCAACAGTAAAAAAAGATGGGGAAACTTCCACCAAGCCTCGCAAACCTATCATCAGTTGTAGGGATGCTGGCAGTAAGCTTTCACCTGGCTTGTCGCAAACAATGACATGTGCTTGGGAGGCTTGCGCTGTCACTTGGATTCCATTGTTGGCTAAACTTGCAGTCAATTCCATATTGGCCGAAACAGCCAGGAAAGCTTTAGAGCCAGATAAATCGGCGAGCAAGGCATCCCTGTGTTTGTTGCTAACATGCCTTTCAATCCTACTTGCCTTCTCGCGTCTTTTCTTTTGATTCTCTGCAAATCTGGCCGAAGCAGCCTCTGCGTCTTGTTGATCTTGCAAAGTCGCGTCTGGTAAGGACTTCTCCGCAGTGGCCTGAATTCGCCTAATGCGGCTTTTCTTTTCCAAAAAAAACATTTCCTTCTGATGACCTTCAGTGAAGAATAGGGGGTCGGCTTGCTCCTGGGTTCCTGAATATGACTCTGCGGCCGCAGCAGCCGCGCAGCGACGTCTCCGAAGGAAGCTGCTCTCAGTCAAACCTGCGTCAACCTGTTTTCTTTTGATTCCTTTGTCAGCCCGACGACCAGTTTTGGAATGTTCCCGTGGACGGCCATACTGGTTTGCCCACGCAACACGGGCTAGCTTGCAAATTTCAACTTTTTCGTCTTTGTTTTGCTTGGGCAAACCATATATAAGTTTCAGGACCAATTCCTCATTGTTGGGTAAGGACCGACGCCGCTGCATTGTGTACCGGATTTGGCCCAAACTAAAATTTTGCTCAATTGCTGAAGTACTGGGCGTGCAGCAAAAATAATTTTGCAATGCAACAAGCAAAACGTCGCTGGGATGACTGCATGGTCTGGCTGAAGAGTATCTGGCCAAAGTAGCTCTCCAGGCTTCTTTGTTGCCATCGTGGGCCATATCTTTGCTTTCTTTCAGTGAGCCAACCTGTTCTTTGTATTCCAGTTGGGCACGGGGATACAGGTCTTCCCACTGTGCACGGAGCCTGGGCAAATCCAATTTGTATGTGTGGGAAATCGCTCTAAGATGTGCGTTCACCCCTTCTTGCGGAAGCCCCTTCAAATTGAATATTTCAAACGCTTGGCAAATTTCAAAATGAGGAAATTCTGCTTCTATGGCCGCAACAGCCAGTTTCACCCAAGCTTGCATTCGTCCGAGACATGTGTCGACAATTGCTCTGTTCACTCCGGTGCTAGAACCCAAAGTTTTCATTCTGTTCCCAATGTTAAAAACAATGGGCGACTTCAATTGGGTAAGAACAGTCGAGGTGAAGCCGAACACAGTCGCACAACGACCTTCAACAAAAAGACTGCGAATTTGTCGCATGTAGACTTGCAAGTCACCTTTCAGCTTTGCAGGATCAACATGCTCCGTATCCAAGGATCGAGTTAAAGCAAGACTTGTGTCGGCCGCATCAGCCAACATAGCTGCCTGCAGCAGATGTTCTTTCTGAAATCCAAAGAAGCCAATCCTTCGCCTTTTTGGCAGAGACATCTGTTCGTGCTTTGGTTAAATGAAGGGCAGTTTTCACACAAGCATGGAAAAACAAGCAGGTTCTGCCAAGGGGACGTGCGTGGGATTCGAACCTGTGGCCCGCAGACCGAAAGCATGAAATGGCAGTCTCAATCGTGGAGCCGCAAGCGCGACAGTGTTCACCAAATATGCGCTTGATTTCCATGGAGTCATTGATGAGCCTAGCCATTGACCTTGGCCCTCGGCCCATGTATTGCATCACTTCTTTCAGCTTTTCGTCCGCATTCCATGGTCTGCTTGTCAACCTTCTGCTGGCGTGCGCCCGGTCCCTGAAAACATGTTGCAAATTTGGCAGCATTGGCTGATTGTCTTCTGTATTCAAACTCAAGCGTGCTGACCTTAATATTTCACAGCTTGCCATTTCATCTGCTGCTGCATCAGCAGCGAGTGCCACAACTCTTGACCGCAGGTGTTTAAAAAGATTTTTCTTCAAACGCCCAGGATTCTGACTAAGAGGGGCCATATAAAATCTAGAGCAAGCACGCTTCATGACTGCCCATGTGGCTAAGGAGACATTGTCAGCTCCTGTTCCAGCTTGCCTTGCTTGGCCTAAAAAGCCACTTCGAGTTGTCAAGTCTGGGGCCACAGCCATGAATCGTATGGCCAACCGCCCATGCCGCTCATCCCGCATCAAAGAAATGCGAGAAGATTTCGCAATGAACTTTTGGTCCAAAGCTTTTAACCCCTCTGCCAAACACCATGCCATTTGCAGCTCTTTTTGCGACAATGATCTTTTGTCGCCAAAGCACTCCATCAGCTCTTGAAACTGACTCAATGACGGGGCTGCATCGGGACTGGGACCAACACAGCCTCCTTCCTTCAACCATTCCTTCACCGCTGCCTTGTGCGCCTTGCTTTTATGGTGCTTTATCAAATTGCAGTTCTGCAGTTGGCCCTTCTTGGTCATTGAATAAGAAGCGAAAGGGTTGGAAACCCCAGTTTCCTTGCACACTTTACAACCAACACCCCAAGGTTGCTGCTTCACATCTAACCATGACCCTAGCTCTGGCTGGCCATCTGAGATGAGGAACGTGTTACACCATTTTTTGCCCGAACTACGCCATCTGAATTTGGCCCCGGTTTCCAAGCTTGACATTGCCGCTGTGGCCGAAGCAGCCACTAAAATGGCCGAGCCAGCCAGTACTGCGGCCGAAACAGCCACAATGGAGCGGCGCATCTAACCATTGAGCCAAAAGAAAACGAGAAAAGAAAATATCCATGACACTTGTTAAAATATCTAGCAGGGCGTCTATACGAGAAATGTCCTTCTATGGACGTCGCCAGGCAGAGAACAGAAAAGCTGTCCCACAAGAAGTGTGTCAGAAGAAAAATGTGTTATATACCACAACTAAGGAAAATTGAGATGAGAATTCTACAAGAACGCATGTGGCATGGTTTTAAAAGCCATGAAGGTATTTGTAACAAAGTCTGAAGGTACAAAAGAACGAGTTCTGAAAATAACTTAATTAAAAAAAAAAACAAAACGAGAAAATATCTCCAAAGCCCAATTTTTTTTTGTAATACCGTAATACGCTTAAGTGGATGCAAGTCGTTAGTGCCTCAACTCTTCCAGTGAGTCATCCATCTCCAGCGCATGGACGTCTTTCAGGAGATCACCTGGCGGCCACGGCGCCCGGCGGGATGATGTCCATGGCCCGTTTTGGGAAGAGAAACCAACCAAACATGTACTTCGTATATAAATATATATATATATATGTATGTATATATATGTTATATATATGAGGTTAGTAAAAGTGGTTGATATTGTTTTCTATTGACTTGGATATGGGTAAAACAAGTGTGATTGACATCCCAACATTCGGATGTTTCAGACAGGACCCTGTTTTCGACCATACCTATGTGGGCACTCGATCACAATGATGTAACGAACTTTTAACAGGAGTACACTACTACCAAATAAAAGGAACAACATAGAATAAACATGTGTGCCACGGTCAAAACAAGGTAGTCATTCTATGTTCACTAATTTGAGGCTTCCCTCAAGGTCCCTATCGCATCGCTCCAGGAGCTTTTGTGTGCTCGGTGGCATCTTGAAACCATCTCTTGACCCAAACCAACAGCAGGTTCCGGGGTTACAGGCTTCCAGGGTTCCAGGAAACAAACATGTATGAATATTTATTAATATTAGACATGTTTTCTGGTTTCGCATTGGAAATTCCTGCATCAATATCTATAGCAGTTCATATTTTTGATGACATATGCATCATAACCATTTATTCACAACCATCATTGGATAGTTCATATTTCACCAAATGGTGCTCTAATATATTATCATATATTGTCACCATTTATAGCATTAACAGTGCCTCGTTGGTGGTTTGAACCCCTCTGAAAAATATGAGTTCGTCAGTTGGGATTATGACATTCCCAATATATGGAAAGTCATACTCCAGCCATGTTCCAAACCACCAACCAGGTGCATTTTATATAGCTTTATTTGTGTTCACTATGTTTTTTTTTCCAGTGATGAGTGAGTTCCATCCAGCCACGGGACTGTACTGCACTGGCTTGGCTTCAATGGCCAGTGGTTCCTCCTCGCGACAGATGGCTTGGAGCCTCTCCAAGTTTCTGGGTGATGGCTTCCGCTTGAAACCCATTAAAAGTGGGGGTTGTATAATGTGGAGCCAGTGTAATACTTCACAGTACCCTACTAAACCCACTGAACCGTACTTCACAGTCCTCATCATCCAGTTTTCGCTTTTCAACAATACTTGAGCCAATCTCGTTTCCAGATTTCGACCCGAGGAATCTACCTGCGCCGTCACTCCTCGTTTTTGCGTACCCTGCGCCGCCTGGTGCTCGGGCGGGCAAATTTCAGAGTGGAAAATCAACCAGCAGTTCCATGATTTTCCCGAACGAAACCTCCATGGTTCGGGGGATTTTCCATTGCCATGTGATTCGAGGAGGCTAGACGGTAGATACCAAAGGTCCAACTACAAGGGTTGGCGCTTGGTTTCATCCCCGAAATAAACTCAGTTGATGAAGCCACTAGTTGTATATATATATAATACATCATATATCACACATATAAATATAATAGATTGTATATGCTATGCTTGGTGATTGAAGCCCCATTGCAATCCAAGTGAACCAACCCATGCGGCTGGTTTTTGCCCGCCTAGGTCTGGGTGCTGGAAGCGCCAGCTGCTGATGGTCCTATCATGCCCCCATCGGGTTCATTCTGCTGGTATGATGATGTGATAGCAATGTTTTTTTCTTATGGGTAACATAAACCAACTAAGAATTTCTAGTGTTGAACAGGGTTGAAGTATTTGAAAGCACCAACCAGCTTAGATACCACATCTTGCAATGTTTAAGCAGTTTCATCCAGGCAGGCATATCCAAGCAAATATAGAATAGCAACTTCAGAAAGATGCCGAAAAGTGGACATTTCCACCGACATATTTCTATTTTGGAGCCGACAAAATTGTTTTGTTTCCAGTTTACCCAACATTCATCCTAGCAGCTTCTCTCCTGCACACGCCCCTCCAAATCCACACCCGTAAGAAAAGCCATCGCTGCGGGTTTGGATGATTCCAGTGCTTTTTTGACTTTGCTGGAGAGCTTTCCCACCAAACAAGAAATCATGTTGAAACAAGGACTGGATGTATGGAAGGGAACATCAATCCTGAATGATCAACCCAGGTGGCTGAAAACGATTGGGAAGTGCATTTTTTTTTGCAGCACCCATGACTCTAGGATGCAATGGATCTAGAGATAAAAGCATGAGATATGCATGTTTTAAATCTTGATTTTGCATCTCTTCACATGAATTACTATGAATTATTCACCCATCGGTAAGAAGCGAGAAACGGCACCATGGCACACATTTCGAACGGGCAATGACTAGTCGTCGCAGATCAGAAGCTCCACCAGGCATTCATCAGATTGCAATATCTGAAATTATTAGGTTGCGAAAAAAATATCTTTCAGATTTGTCAGAGAAACCCGTATATCATATGTGTATACTGTACATGTTTTAATGATATACCATGCACATATAATATATGATATATATATATATGATATATATATATATATTTCCAATGGAAAATTACTTCAGTTTTCCCAATCTCTTCTGGCTGTTGGACTAGAATAGAACCCGGCAGAGAGCGATGCCCGACTTCGCGAGAGGAAAAAAAGATGCCAACCACTGGATTGATCGTGGCCAGAAAAAACGTGGTTGGTGGTGGTTTTCATGGGATGTCCATCATGATATATTAGCCCTAGTTATTCTGGGTTCAATGTCCATCTTTGGTGGTGCCTCAACTTTTCGATCAAGTCGAAAGTTTGCATGTTTTAGTTTGATACCTCCTTCTATCCTGAAATGGCCGGTCAAGAGTCCTCGAACAGTATCTAGAGTAGTCACGTCTGCTCGTGTCATGGTGTAATTATTTTGATCTACCCGCAGCTACAGTGTGACAGGATCATGTTGACCTTTGCATAGATCGAAGTTATCATGTATGCCGCAACATAAGTCGATCCGTGTACTTCTTATCTTCCAAATCCAGGAAAGGTCTGACACTTCCACTGCTGGCAGCGGCAACTTTTTGCCCTGCCATCAGTCGAGGGGGTTCAATGGACAAGTGGCTAAGCCTGGCCGGCTTCGCGGGTCAAGTCGGGGCACCGATTGCTTCAGGAGCAATGACCCATATTATGACATATTGACTCTATATTTGTATGATTTGGTGTGATGATGGCGACTGATAGACCATTGATCCATGAGGCTTGAGCAGCAGCTATCTCGATGAGTTGCAGTTGGGAAAACATGGTAAGCTTTGGCCAGTCCAAATATCAGCCGAATTGGTGAGGCTCATGTTATCACCTTGGCAGATCCCAGCAGTAAACAGGCCGTGCGGCACCCCACAGTGCCTTTCTCAGCGCCTGCAACGTGGATGATCCCTCCGAAGCGAACAAATCTCATGGAATTGATGTGCTAAACTCATGAATACACCATCCATCACCATCCCCAACATTACCATAAATGGATATAAATGGAAGGTCAAATTCATCCCCAAATGCTACGAGTAGGTTCATTGGGTATGAATCTTCTACTGTACATGGCAGCAAAGTCTTCAGCAAATACAGTAGATTTGGACCCACTGCTCAGGTAAAAACATGGATACCCTCAAAAAATGGACACTTAAGATCAACAAACCAACCATTTGTAAATATCTTGATGGATCTAGATGGCTACCAGGTGGTGCCCGGAAACACTAAGTTGCCTCACTGATACAATTAGGTTAGGCTTTGTGGTAGATATATCATGATATATCTATAATATCTATAATATCTATATAGTTCATGGGGTTCACCAGCCAAAGTTTCAAACACCGAAACTCCGGTCCCTCGAATCCGAAACCATCTGCCATGGTACTCGGCTGAAGGCACTCGCGTCCACGTCTTCTCGCAGACCCATCCACATGGTCCACGAGTGCAGGGTCTCCTGGGGAGATCATTCCGGGGAGATGTGATGAATTTTGCGCGTTGAATGATACTCTGATCATTATGCATCATGATCATGATGTTGAGGTTTTAGGTGGTATATTCATTACTGGTTGGTGGTGCAATAACCATCTTGAAAAATATGAGTTCGTCAATGGGAAGGATGATCCCTTTTTTATTATGGAAAATAAAAGCTATGTTTGAAACCACCAACCAGATTACTATTCATTATTTTTCTTTGTTGTCTATTACATATGTTACATGATCATTTGCCCATGATATGACCGCAGAATATGGCCATGCAGCGAACGGTCGCGCCTGATCCGCGAACATTTCCACAATATTCCTGGCAGAGCCCATCAAAATTCATGATTTAGAAAAATGATTGGGTACTTGGATGTGCATCCCACTTAGTAAGTACTTTATAAATGTTTATTATCTAAATAAAACACCATATAATCCCAGAATATCCCATATTATATGGGGATATTCCATATATAACTGGGGCTGCAACCCATTTACTAAGTTGGATGCAAGCTGCCAAAACCCATGTTCAGTACCAGGATCGCCTGACGAAACGCGTGGGTTTGCGCGTTGTGTCTTGTGGTTCGATCACCTGCCGCTGGTAGATCATTGTCTTAGAGAAACCCATGGGATTTTCCACATTTGTGGTAGTTAATGGTAGTTATTAACCATGGTAAATTCGGTTGGTTAATAACTATGTGGCCTAAAGGATGGAAACCCATCTCCAGTTGAATTGGGAAAGCCATCCCAATTGGGATTCCAATCGAATGGTGGCTGCACAAGGCAAATACTTTCACAGTTGAATTTTGTGCCCACTGGACTTCTGATTCTCCAAGTTGCACTCAAAAGATAGCAGTCTGGCCTGAACCCCAAATCTCTATCATATATATATATATAGATAGATAGATAGATAGATAGATAGATTAGATTAGATTAGATTAGATTAGATTAGATTAGGTTGGGTTAGGTTAGATTAGATTAGATTAGAACGATGATTAAGATTAAGATGATAAAGATTAAAATTTAGATTAGAATATATAAATATATAGAACTAACATGGATTAACATCTTTACTTTCCATTCATTTTAGGTATTCGCCAAAAGGTCAGATTTCCCAAACATGGATCCAGATAAAAGATATACAACTGATTTGGTTTAAGTATAGAACCACTATGAACTATGACTATCATTGTATACGTATGTATGCATATGTTTACATATTATATATATTTATATGTGATCTCTACCATAGACATCCATAAACCCTCGCTAGATAAGCTCCTTGGGGCCCAACAAAAATCTGCTGCTGGCGAGGCACGGGCACAGCACCATCAAAGGCCGGAATGCCTCGAAGGTTGATGAAGAGCCTAAAAGACAACGAGCGTCTCAACGGATCATGTTTCATCAGTGCATCATGGGAATATCATCATGGAAGTATGTGATGTTTGATGATGTTTGCATCTTATCATTATGATGTTTGATGATGGTTGATGATGGTTGTACAATTGTAATTTTCTCAGTGCATATTGTGGACCATGCAAGTTTTGAACATGATATCATATTATGAAGAGTTGGATAGGATATATCTAGAGTTGGATGGGAACATGATAAGGATATTAGTATAAGTGCTATCTAAGATATATATAAGTGCTATCTATTATATCCAATCATAGAAGAATATCTAAGTTTGGTATAGTATATCTAGTATATTTATAAGTGGATGGCACATTCTAATCCATCAAGACTATGACTGGAGGATCCCACAGTTTTCCAGGAAAACACCAGCGAGAACAGTGGGTCCCCGATACACCCCATCTACAACGGTCACGTGCTGCCGCGGCCTGTCCCCGTTGTCATCCAAGAGCTGGCAGGTGTGCCAATCCCGTCGCCCTCACGGGTCGAGTAAGTTGACTGGTTAGTAAATGGTTTATGAATAGGTCAATGGGAATTTCAGGATCCTAAAATGAAGGTACGTTAGTACCATATAAGACTTATAAGACCATATTTTGTGGGTATATTCCATTGCATAGGCCTGAAAATTAGGCCTTTATTTTTGGTAGGTACCTCCAATCAATCGGTTCCTGTTGCATGGCCACTGAATAGGTATAATAGGGATATGGTGAAGTTATAACCATTTACCAACTAGTCAACTTACCATTGGGAACTGGGTAGCATTGGGACATCGCGGATTACCAGTTACTCACCAGTCTAATCTCATGGCCCATCCAGATTCCCTTGAGATTCAGTCCCATGTTTGATGCTGTGGCCGCAACCATCCCCAACTATCGAAATCTAAATCCATTGCTGATGATCGCATTTTTTTTAAATTTAGATGGATCCAAAACAATTATGTCTATAAATATCTATAAATACATCACTTCATGTCATGTTCTTTTCTGGTTGGTGGTTGACCTACCCCTCTGAAAAAATATAAGTTCGTCAGTTGGGGTTACTATTCCCATCTATTCCCAATATATGGAAAGTCACAAAATTCCATGGTTCCAGTCACCACCAACCAATGATTAATCACCATTAACCAACATCATTAACCATTATTATCCATGATTAACCATCATTAACCACCATTAATCACCAACCAGTTTTATGTCTGAAGTTGGATGATTGAATCACCGCCATCCGAGACACCCACTGCCATTGTTCCTGGGATGTCCTACTGAAACGTGAGGACAGCTCAAAAGCAATGTCGAAGAGTGACCTCAAAAAAGACACATGGCAGGATCATCGGATCATTTTGACTTATGATGTCATTATAGGATTTAGTATATGATCTAAAAAAAATGTCAATATGATCCCATTATGACAATCAGATTCAATAAAATAGCTGATGATGGGATACAACAATATAACATACTTGGATTTGATCATAATACATCGGATACTTGAATAATCACTCCCATATTCCCTATTAATCCAGCCGTGCCTTCTCAGGAAAGATTCGGATCAGGGATTGGACCCAGAAACGTGGTCCTAAGATGTCCTAAGGGTTGGGACGTTCATCGGTAAAAGATGGTAAAGGCCCTCACGTTTTGCGAAAGATAGTTGAACCAACATGATTGCCCGAAGTTCACAAATTGGCAAATGAACTAAATAAAGATGGGGTGCCATACCCTGTCATACCCCCTAAACCACTTCCATGTTCACACTCGAACGGTTCTCCACCCCCATTTTTGGGGTAGATTTCACTGGCCAAAATGGCAAGTTAGATGGATAATCCCAATAAATCATCATTTATTCTCCATAAAATCATCATTTCATGGCATAAAATCATCATTTCATGGGATGGTACCCTCCATGGCCCATGGCTTCTGGCTGCCGCTGGGTCTACCGCACCGCTCTTGCGCCCACACGCTGAGGTGCCGCGTGGAGGCCAAATTGGAAACGGCCTGTGGTGCTCGGGATTGGAATCCCCAAATGGTTTGGAGCCAATTTTTGGTGAATCAAATCTTTGAACATGATTGTAATATCATATGCAATATATATATATTATACATAAAATTACATAAATAAATGTATATACACAGTCAGTTGCATGATAAAGATAACCAATTACTATGTATCAATAGAGTCGTATTACATCAAGCGCCCTTGCAAACAAACGCCTGACCATGACCAGGTCCATCTCTCATAGGCACGATGAGAGTGAGTTTGACCTGCAAAATCGACAAACACATGGGTGACCTGGGACGAACAACCTCGTTGGCGAAATCGGTTTGTTGCTAATACCGTCACTAGGATTTAACCTGATTATGTCTATTAGTTACCTGTAGATGGGATATGATGGGATTATAAACCAATTTATTACCAGGGGCACCAGCTTGTAGGGATTACACCATGCAAAAAAAAGGGCCGAACTGCCAAAGAAATGGGGGATTGAGCCAGTGGAAATGCGGATTTGACCAGTCGCAACTGCGATCATTGAGCTGGAGGTTTTTTGCCAACAGTCATGTGACGCAAAGTAAAATCATGTTTTCGCTGGTCATTGAAACCTTTGACGCTAGCTGCAAATGGCAGCATATAATGTACTGTATACGTATGCTAAGTTCTCCGGATAAACATAATTTAGCTCGCTACCCCGACCGCCAGAAGGATAATCTGACCAAACACAACACACATGACATATCAGTACATCGTAGGTTTTTTTTTTTACCTGGCGGTAGCATGGACCTCAACCGGGACTCGTTGTTCCGACATGGATCAAATGTCGACGCCAAGCATTCATCAAATGTTTATCATGCGTTCACCTGTACTTGGTCTCTTGATGTCACTTGATGTTAATTCTTCATCTTGATTCAGCATATCTGGAGGTTTCCTAAAATGGTGGTACCCCAAGCAATCATTCGTTTTAGATTGGGATTTTCCCTTACCAACCAGCTATTGGGGTACCCCCATGACTATGGAACCCCCCATCTAGTGATGACGAGTGATGGCTTCTGCCTGGTGGCAATGTCGGGTGGCTCATCCCATTGCAAACTGAGATCATCACTTTACGACTTTACTATAATTTACGATTAATCAGTTTACAATAATTAGTAATTGGTTTACATATGTTTATATACTATTAATTGGTTTACTATTAGTTGGTTCAGTATAGATATTCCCAGCACAAAAATCCCATGATATTCCCATCCACCACGCCGCATGGACGAAGCCTCCGAGATCCTCTGGGCGAAACTCAAGGAGGCGGCCAAGGCAGCCTCAACCGCTCCAACGCTCGGGAGAGGGGGTGAAACTGTTGGTCGCTGGTATGGTTTCGTCAGGGTAAATTACAGTTAGATGGGCTTAGATGGACCAGTTGATTGACATTTTCTTGATAGTCAATATGATTGTTGTTATTTTGTTTCTTCCAAAGAACGGTATTTGGATTCGGAAGCTGCAACTGGAAGCCGCCTAGCATGTCCTTCCAAGTAGCTGTAGCGACAAGGTGTGTAAGATCAGCACATTGGAAGTCTGATTTTCCAATACATGAAACATGGTCCATTTTGTTCGATGATTTACCTGTTCAACAAATGGTGTTGTCTTTCCACGTTACAAGCTGATAAATGAACCGAGTGAAATCCCTATTGGTGCTTAAACTTTCCCATGATACTATACTATATACTCTAAACTATACTATACTATACTATACTATTCTATACTATTCTATACTATTCTATGCTATTCTATACTGTTCTATACTATATACTATACTATAATCCCATTAGAGTCCCCAAAAAAAAAGTCCCTAGATGTTTGTTGGTGATATCTCCAACCGAGTTCGGTGACACCAAGCGACGACCAAGAGGTGGTCTGTGGGAATGCCCGTGACACTCGAGGCGGCCTGCGACGGTTGGTGGTGTACAAACCCCAGTTGGGATGATGACACTCCCAACTGAATGGAAAAATAAAATTCATGTTCCAAACAACCAACCAGTTATTTATAAAATTCATGATATGAATCTGTATAAAATCATGACACATACATATAATTATTATTCAAACAAAAAACACGATAGATTAATGTTTTGAAGTCTTACAGGTGATGGCATTGATGCCAGGTTTTTCTTGGTCGCCATAGAACGATTTGCCTCCAGCACGCGTCCCGCTGAGGGTGTGAACTTCACATAGTGGTCGTAGCCTGTCAACAAGAAATGGGCGGTTGCAAATGGGCCATGGACTTACTTAACTCGTTAGGAAACGAATTGTGATTGGGGATATAAGTTCACTGCTTAGTTCACTGGTTACTTAACTGATTAATAATAACTAGTTTGTCAACTGGATTGTTAACTGGCTATGATTGCGGACTAGTTGTGGACGCAGGCCGAGGTGATTTTGTTGGGAAGGTTATGCCTAATCTTACCATTGAAAGCATGGGGGAGTTCCCTGCAAACTAAAGAACAAAATGAACAAAACACGGCAGCCAAGCGAGGAGTAAGCAACAAACATGAGGATTCCCCATACTTGTTGATTGTATCCCCATGTCTTTGTTGAATCCCCATATCTATATATTTGTCTATCTATCCATCCATGCATGTATATATATTCACATAGAAATCCCATCTAAGCAGATCTAAGCTACATCTACCCACTACAAAAACGCTCCAAAACGCCTCGCTTGCGTGGAGGGCAGCTGTTGTGCAGCAGATCCAGGCGCTCTTCCCAGCCTACGTGCGCCGGCTGGGGGCACCGGAGCCAATGGTTGCTTTGACTCATCTAATTTTGATATGATAGAAAAGGTTTGAATGACATGTTAATAGTAGATAGTAATATGATGTTATATGAATGATAATAATGTTGATATCTAATTTTGAATGATAATAACACTTATAGATGGAACTAATATGGATAATCGTAGATGGTGATCATATGGTATTAGTAGATAGTAATGGTGATTGATAGGTTGGAATAGATGGTAACGGATTGTAGTTGATGGTACTAGAGGGAAATATACGGCAATACAGTCCAGGATAGTGCTATAAAGTAGTTTGCCCTCATAGCTTGTACCTCTCACATACGGGGTAATATATTTAACAATAATTCCACTCTATGTATGTATGTATGTATGTATGTATGTATGTATGTATGTATGTATGTATGTATGTATGTATGTATGTATGTATGTATGTATGTATGTATGTATGTATGTATGTATGTATGTATGTATGTATGTATGTATGTATGTATGTATGTATGTATGTATGTATGTATGTATGTATGTATGTATGTATGTACACACATATAGATATATATATATATATATATACATTTATGTGTACATAGATGGCTGTAACCATGAGCAATGTATGCTAATATACGGTTTGACCCATGAACCGTATCATGTGGGTTAATTAGCGCAAAATATGGGAAATGTGTTTTTTTTTTGGGGGGGGCGGGGGGTAATATACGCTAGCACAGTTCGGAAGAGTAGCCATTTCAGTTGTATCTATTAGTATTAGCATCTGGCAATTTAGCTGTAATTAACTGTGGACAATGGTCCATTTCTAGATGATTGACCTAGTCGTAAACATAGTAATTTCTCTGACTTTAAATTACCAAGCCGGGTAAGCTATTGATGGATCTATCATATCTATCAAAGCTGGTGACCAACCAGGAGATGTATGGACCTCATTGTTGAACATCTCAACCCGGTGCTGGGGAATTGCACAACCAATCTACTATCTGTCTACCAAATTCTACCCATACATTTTCATTATCAAAGCCACCGCACAATTAAAGAAAACATAAAGTGATTTTTCATCCAAGCGTAGGAGGTTACTCGAGACCTCAAATGATCACTCAACATCCCTCCACAAAAAAATGCCTTGTCGGATATCACAGCAATCCATTTTTGGCCAAACATTTACAACTGATTTTTACAGCGGAATCCACATTTGATATTAATATACTCCTCCAGGCACTAAAAACGCGTTCCACACGTATCCAGAAGTCATGTCTTACCAATCTCCACCTCAACACGCATATATATATATATAAATACACATATGTATATGCCTATATATATATACATACATGTGTATATATATATATATACTATCTCTCTCTCTGTCTATGTAATAAACACACGATATTGTCTGTGTCAGTGTGCTCCATCTATGCAGTGGCTGAACATTTCAACCCCAACCGCTTTTGCCAGGTGTGCCTGGCACCTTCGTTCCCAACACGGAGCCCTGCAAGCGCTCCTGACATCGTTGCTGCACTTAGGTGGGGATCGTGGCTGCATCCCACTTAGTGACTGGGTAATGGGTTATACCCAAATATAATATATATATATATATCTATATGTATATATATATATATATGTAAATGAACATCCCTATTTATATATGGGATGAAACATGGCTTTATGGATTATAAACCATTTACTGAGTGTGATGCGCCAGCAGAGTGATATGGGCATCCAATAGATAACTATTGTTTAACCAATGATATCTCGAGGATGGCCACTTGAACGTTGCATTCCACATTTCTCATTTTAGATGATTAAATCCCGATTTGGATTGGCAAACAATTTGATAAAAAAAACATGTTTTGGTTAAACCTATTATTTTCCCATTATTTTCCCATTATATATTCCCATTGTTGACACCACTATTAACACCACATTTTATACACCTAAAACGAATAGTAACGAGTATTCCCAATATATTCCCATGTAATTCCCATTATATGCCCATGATGTTCCCAAAATATATATCCAGTAGATTCCCATTATATTGTATCCCCATGAACACAGTGGCTTCGACAAAATTCTTGATTTTTACAGCAAAAAACCACCAAACAGGACCACATCACTGCCTCAGCAATGGCCAAACCATCAGGTGCCACAGGAAGTTTCGTGTGCTCCAAGACCGCTTCCGCAGAGGCCTGTGCTGGATTTCCAAAACGCCATGGCTATGATAATGTGATAAATCCAGGGCCGTTCACGGGATTCCATGATGATTTAATTGGATTTTATAATTTCTACGAGTTTATGGATATTTATTGGATTTAACGGGCTTTTATTTGATGGCAATATAATGGGACAGAGCCAACAATAGACATAGAAAGGCGACATATCCAAAAACCAACAGAAAAATATATCTATAAACAGGTGAATGGTGAATTTGCTACGGCTGGAGATCATCCAACGAGTCAAATCACACATCTGTGCAAAATGCTCGAACCTGCAGAGCTATCAGCAATGATGGCATAACCCTTGCCATGTGGAAAGCTCAGAGATTGAACATGTTGGAAGTCAAAAAAAATTGATGGACAAATTGGTCAAATCATTAAAATTGCATCCCCTTCCAGGGCTGTTGGACCTATGCTTTGCAGTTCCTGCACAGTAGACATGGGGATGAAATCAATGATATATGAACACACATATATATATATATATATACACCCTCTGGTTATTTAACATAGCCATGGAAAATCACCATTTTTAATAGGTAAACCATCTATAAATGGGCCATCCTGATGCTGTCTTGTCCATCATTTAATCACGCTGGCACATGTGGACCATCGCAGCCCTCAATCATCCGATGGTCCTTGGTCATGGTTGCGCTTGGCTTCTCATGATCATACCCCGTGCCTTGATTCTTAAATCCACATGTATGACCCCTCGATTATTGCTTATGTAATACATAATGTATATATATATACATAAATTATGTAAAACATGTAAATCTGTAAATCCCACAAGGATACGGGTCATTTTGGACCACCACAAAGATACATCACTAGACATCACCAGCCATTTTTGGATCCCAAAATTGCCTGATGCGCCCCGTTGCACGGGAGCCTCCAAATCGCCCGTCCCGTTGCTCCCGTTGCTCCCGTTGCTCCCGTGGCCCAGAACTTTTGCCGCGCGATGAAATTCCAGCCTGGAAATCGGTAGAGATCTGTTGATGACACGTATATATTTCTATATATATATACATACATACTGTATATATATATATATCATTCATCTGTTCATAGATCTATCTAGTAGCAACTCTCGAGTCATTATGTACATATATATATATATCATATAATTCATCTGTTCATAGATCTATCTAGTAGCAACTCTCGAGTAATTATGTACATATATATATATTATATTAATATATATATATATAATATACATACCCCACACACATCCACACACATCCACACACAATCATTCTATCTGATTCAGATCTCGGGGGTTCAACCTGAATGACGGGCGCGTGGGGCAAAATGTGAGACATTGATGGATGGTGTCACCATGTTTCACCCAATCTCGCATTCCAAATGCTTCTTTATCTAACCGTAATCTAACCCTATAGCCTACTTGCAGCACACCGCCGCTGTGCGCCGAGAAACAAGTCAGCAACCATTGGAACGATGGAGGCGGCATCAGTCCTGCACTTGGGGTGCGGGCCACTCAATCATGGTGGGATTCTGTTACTATTTGTACTCAATTCATCGACATGTCGGAACATTTGAGCATCTACAAACATCATACATGTGTATCTGTATATGATAGTATCGATCGATAGTATATCAATACTTGATGGTGAAATATTGGAATATATTATACGCAAATAAGTTGGCAAAAGTGGCTTTCAAATGTGTTTTAATCTACACACACACCAAAAAAAAAACACAACAAAGCAGAGGACACGCACACATTTGGTACATCCCGACTTGCAAAACTTCTTTCAAATCAAGACAGATCACAAATGGCCCTAAGATGACTTGCTTCTGTTGCATCCGGTTGGGGCGCGTTAATGTTGCTATACTGGAATGGAACTCATGGTTGATCCAGAACCGGAGCCTCCACTTCGATTTGGTTCCACCAGATATGAACCACAAGTGGAAACAAACTTTCATCTCTTGGCGAAGCCATCAAAAATAGGAATTCAACCAACAAAATGGACATTAATGGACATTTTCATGGGATGTGTATATTTATACAATTGCATTAATTAATGTGTGTCTGGCTGAAATAGAATGATTGCTTGGTCGAACCAAATCCATCCCCCCAAAAAAATGTTGGTTGCACCCAGTGGTGGGAACCCAACTTATCTCTACTAATGCGAGCGATAGAAAAATCAACACACCTACACAATTCTATGACATTGAATTGTAAATTAATAATCAAATAGAACCCCATCTTGAATCATATCATGGTATTGGAGTTGCTGGCACTCTTCCATCCTTGCCGATGTGAATATACGACACTCAGATCCCTGTCTACTTGAAGATGGCTTGAACCACTGGCTTGTTCTGCTAGCATCATCTGTGTCTAATCATCAACAATCATAATAAAGATACATAATATCTAACATATAGTATCTACATATAGTATGTAATGTATTTATGATAAAGGTACCAATATGACATATAGTCTTCATATCAGGTTGTCTCATATACCCACGGTCCAAGGTTCAGAATCTTTTCGCTGTCTTGATATGCAAAGAAAATGATGCTTTTGCATCATGTCTTACCATCTACGATTGAATAAAATATACCAACAAATATGGTCTTTAATACCATATAATTACCATCATCCAACATAGATTACCATCATCCAACATAGGTTTTAATATCATATAATTACCATCATGTTCTCAAATAGATGCCTTGTACATCACCCAACAGCCCCAGACCAGAAAACTGGGCACCAGACACTGCATGATTCACAGCCTGGTGAAGAACGGGTGATGGCGACAGCTTCTTGAAACGGTTTTCTGAACCACCGAAAACATCCAAAAAAAACTGTACTATGGTTTAATGGATTAATATGGTTTAATATGGCTTAATAATAATGATGGTATATTATGATGGTATATTATGGTATATTACTATGGTTTAATAATGATTGTATATTATGGCTTAATATGGTTTAATTATTAACTATCCATTATTGCTGTGATATATATATATATATATATCGTCATTGTACTCAAATTATAACCATTTAATGGTTATTAAGAATTGTTTGAGGGATATTAAGGGTATATTGACCACACCAACAGTAAAAATGGATCATGAACCATCAATTAGTGCGTTGTACCCCTTTGGTGGTTGGCTGAATAGCCATGAAGGCCACACTTCCACTGCCCCCGTCTGGTCAGTGGATGCCCTGATTCAACTGCTATACCTGGCTATGCATATCACATCTATCTTTCTATTTATATCCCCTTGTGAATTAAGTGAAATTGCAAGGAGGATCTATTTATCTATCAATCCATCCATACGAGCCAGTTGATGTTGCCATTCCAAGTAGGATTGCGTCTGGAGTTCAACGAGCTGATCCATCCGCCGATCGCACGAAGGCAGCAGCTACAGCGTGCACAACTCTACATGTAAACCTACATATACCTCCTGCATAATACCGTGGTATGAGATGTCTCAATAATATAGCCACTGTTGCGATGTTGTGGGTATGTTGGCCAAGAATGTACTGAATAACAAAGTACAACTGGAAACTAAATATGGACACTCCGCACATAGATTCCAGCCCGTAGACTATTTGAAGAATCAAGTGAGTACCAATATCCTGGCTATACAAAGTCACTATTTTAAGGATGCTAATCTTCAGTTATTTCCTAGTTCCCCAAACATCTGGGTGTTCCCAGCGATCTGCAGGTACGCCACGTCTTTGCCATCATTCGAGGCAGCAGGCAGAAATAAGACCTCAGGGCAAACAAAACATGGCTGGAACATCCACCAGATGGGACTTTCAATGATGTTTGATTGCCGAAGGGTATATCAAGCGGGTATTCATATGGATGATATTGATTGAAATAGTATATACTATTACTGTAGTCAACCTGAAAGAGAGGGATTTTGGAGTGGTCCCCTTAAGTATACTGCATTGTGACATGGTGGTGATGTCATTCGCAATGATTGGGGTCTGTCAAACTATTCATACAAAGGGAAAACACGTTCACTTGACCTGATTGACATCATGTCTATCTATCTATCTATCTGTCTGTCTGTCTATCCATCTATCTCCTGTAATTGAACAAAAAAAAGTGGTGAGTGGCTTTGGACCTACGTGGCTTTGGTCATGGCAAAGTCTATGGCATTTCATGAACTACCAAGATCTACATGGGGATTTCCATGGATTTGGCCGTTTGCCATTGCCGCTTTCATCCCATGGGAACCACAAATGATTGGTTCCCGACAGGTGGAATCCTAGCTAAACCATCACGAAATCCCCTGATTTAGTGGTTGAATCCACTATTTCCATCTTGCCGGAATGGAATCCCATGATGTTCTGTTGAAATCCCGTTTGTCATGCTTCCCTGCCCAAGCCATGCCCCTGCCCCCAGCTAGGCTCTTCCGACCGACATGGACGCAGGCGTCCGAAAGCCACGAGATCTAGCCTTCAACCAGGCTGCATGGCGCCTGAGCGAAACGTCAGGGTGGAAGTATGACACATGTGGCCTCTGATGCAAAAATAAAAGGATTTCACCACACTGAATCCACATAAATTGTGCTAAAAGCCAAGGGAAAGGTGGATATGTATGTTGTAAATATATATATATATATATATATATATATGTATGTATGTATGTCTGTCTGTCTGTATGTATGTATGTGTGTATGTATGTATGTATGTATGTATGTATGTATGATATAATATAAAAAGAGCATGGGTCCATGTGGGATTTAGCCACCAAAATGAAATTAGCATAAATTAGCTCTAATTTGACAACACGACGTACTGATTTGACAAACAAAAAAGGATGCAATGGATACCGATACCTATATACAGTTTCAGTGAGGACATGATCAAATATGGTCGCAGGATATCTGTTGGCCGACCACTGGTTCTCCGGTGACCCCAGCCCTGAGAGATCCCAACAAATCGGCTTCGTTCTCGAAACTCAGCCATTCAAAGTGAGCGGACTGGCAAACGGCCACATAAAACAGCTAGGGGCTCCATAAATAGCAGGGGTTGACAGGGTTAGTAAACCCTATATATATTATAATATTATATATGTGTGTTATATATTGTTGTATGTATATATATATATATGTAACCTATATATATATATATGAATATTATATATTAATATATATTACATAATGGAATATTCCCAGAGATTTATATGCGGCTTGTGAACTGATTAACTACAAGGTGGAGCCCTAGTATAGCTAAGTTGATACGCATCAATCATATTTCAATAAGGCCTATGTATACATAGAGAACTAATTATATAATTGGGGTTGTATCAAAGTCAACAAACAAAACTGGAGAACCACATTTGATTGAATTCCAATGATATCTTTGCAGCAGGGTTGATCAAATGGCCAACCAACCAATACAATCAAAGACAAGAACTTGTTTGGTCCTAAAACCTCACCATATATCCAAGAAAGGTTCAAAAACCACGGAGGTTAAAGCGACCGACTTAGTACAAAATCACTCTGAGTTTGGGCAATGTTTTGAGAAAAAAAAATGACGATCATGGCAAGAAAAATGATATAAATAACATATATATATATATACATATTATTATCCTCATGATTTGCAGTCTATATTTGATGTATGTTCTGTTTGGTACCTGATTTTATCTGATTCATCCCACCTCTTTTGCAGTTGATCTTCGGAGATATTCGGATCCATTCATGTATCATCTCCTATGGATACTCAAGTCCTGGTTGCCTCAAAAGACGTGGATTTTGGGCTCACAACTAGTCGTAAAAATCCCGTTTATATCCCCATATCCCCCATATTTTGTGGGGATCACTGGATCGTTCCACCATTTATCTTCAAAATATGGTTGACTAAACATGACGACACTATTTGAAAAAAAAAACTGCCATAGAAATCACCATATTTGAAGCTCCAACCAGACCTTAATTCCACGCCCATTCCACGCCTCCTCGAGCCTTGGTTGTTCAATGGATAGATGGAAAATCAAAACAACAGCCATATGGATGGTTGATGTATCCACCAGAATAGAAACAACACCCGGCAGGATCGGTTACAGTATATCCTCCGGATCCATCTATCAATATCTATCATATCCAATTTTTGGTGGATAATTCATGATAAGTCCAGCATGTTTGATGCTTTGTTGAAACACTTGCCTGGAGTCTCACCGTCTGCTCCTGTGGTGCCCCCCAGTTATGTTTGTTGCTTTATTTGGCGCCCACTTTCTAGTTTGATCTACCACAAAGATTACTTATATAATTAAGGTATAAGCACCAACCTCGCCAACCAATTTGGATTTATAACTCACACAACCAGGATTTATGATGATCAACTATAACTATCTAACTATCCCATATGCTCCATGTATGGTATATTTACCTACATTTGGGTGATTTTAGGGGTAAACGTTGGTAAATATACCATACATGGAGCATCTGGGTATAGTATACTATAGTTGTATAGATGGGCTTTATAAACCAACAAACAGAACTTCTCCAGCCAACTTCGCCACTCTCCGCGCATCGACCCCCATCCCGGACGTCGACGCCCCAGACGTCCCAGTGACCCGCCAGCGTTGCACATGGGCAAACCACCCGCGGCAGGGGCACACTGTACCCGAGGCCTTGGATATGGATTCCCACAGAAATATATAGAAATATGACAAATACCATCTGGTTATGACTAACATAGCCATGGTATAGATGGCCCATAGAAATAGATGGTTTACCTGGGTTTACCTATTAAAAATGGGTGGATCTTTCCCTGGCTATGTTAAATAACCAGAGGGTAATAGTATTAAATACTAAATAGAGGTTTCATATTAGAGGTTTAATATGAATATTATGTTATGTCTATATGTAGTATTAAACCTCTATACAATATTAATACTATAGAGGTTAAAACAAGCATAAATATATTAGAGGTTTAGTACTATATCTAGATTAAATTACTTTAAATACTAAACCAAATATTGTAATATAGTAGTAAACCTCTATATAATGATTACATACTAAAAATATTGAAAATAGTATGATAATATAAAAATAATGACAAATACAGGAACCGACAGAATTATGGGAAAAAAAAACGTTTCAATTTACAGGCGCCGCCTGTCTATGATAGAAAAGTTACGAACCTTTTTTTTTTCCATAATTATTTTTTCCATAATTATTTTTTTTCCATAATTCTGTCGGTGACTGTATGTCCATCGATTCGCATTTTGAATGCATTTTAAGGGGGAATATTGAATTATAGAAAATATGCGTCTAAAGATCTGGTATATGCCCCTAAGTCTTCCATTGATATACATAATATCATGTGATGTTCGCAATTTGAATGCATTTTAAGGGGGAATATTGAATTATAGAAAATATGTGTCTAAAGACCCCCAAAAAAAAGGGGCTTGAATTGTGGATCCATGAGATGTCCAACAGGTGGAGCCCCAAACATTAATTATGGAAAAAATAATTATGGAAAAACATAATTATGGAAAAAAAAAATTATGGAAAAACCGGTCAATCTGCCCTAGCCCCCTGATTTTACAGGAAAAATCAATTATGGAAATAATGGCCACCTCCAAGAATTATGGAAAAAAAAAGGTTCGGATCACTTCCGGGATATTTTGAACCCTTATGGGGAAAAACCTAATTATGGAAAAATCGGACGCAGGCGCTGCCTGTCTAAGTTGAACGTTTTTTTTTCCATAATTCTGTCGGTGGCCATAATTACAACACAATGAACACTACTTATATCAGAGAAACTATTTGATGGTTTAAAGAAACACAAACCACATACTGTGCATATAATATAATTTAATAATATAATATAATATAATATAACATAATATAATATAACATAATATAATATAATATAATATAATACTGTATATGTCTATATATATATGCGAGAATACGACTATATTTGCCATCCGCTACTGCATCTTTGCCTATACCTTGTCCAATTACGCATGTATACGGTATACGTGTCTCTAGGAATATGGATTAGAAACACACATATGCCACTTGGAGGTCTCCAATTTTGTTGCCTGCGCTGCCCATTCCAGCAATCCCAAAGAACATCCTGCCTACAGATGCTCATATGCTTTCCAAATGCTATCACATCAATTTCACACATTTGCTGGCTTTGTTGGCTTGTGTGTCTTAATAGTTGTCTCAGGGCCTTACAAGAATGTATATGTTGTTTGCAAAGTGCCAGCTTCAGAAAGATCTTCATGCCAAGCACTATCCAATAGAACTCCGCCAAAAAAGATAGAACAGCAATTCACATCAATTAGCCACCGAAGGTGATGTTGATGGATCGAGGCTCCGAATTCGAGCCGCCCGGCCAGGCATCCCACAAGCCCTGTGCTGCAGCGGCATCCAATGGAGCCCGAGACGACTCAACCTGCGCAGCGTCCCACGTTGGGGGGACAGAACTCGTTGTTTCCGAAGACATCATTTAAACATGGGAAAATCGTTGGAAAAACACATGGGAACTCGTTGGTTTTTGATTTTTGATTTTAGGACTTTGCCATGATTTTGATATGGGTGTTTTTGGCAAAAACACATCCAAATATGCGAAAAAAAGGATTTACCCCTTAAGGACTACTCGTTTGTCATCAAAACTGTATTGATTCACCCTCGTGTTTGATGTCATGTGTTTATACTCTCTGACAGTCACACAGAACAATGGGATGGGAATTCCCTGTCATATTTCATGTGACAATAGTCATTTGGGAGCCAACATGAATTCCATCGCTACATGCATTGAGGAAATTGTGGTATACAATTGAATTTTAGCCGTGCAATACTTCTCCAACCCAATTGACACCATGTCACCACTCGTTCAATATGTATAAGAAATGATCAACACACAAAGAATGCTTGCAAACCATGGTTACATGTAAAATGATATAGAAATCCAATGAAATAATGTAAGGTTCTCCACATGGTTGTTAGTCAACTCCTCAAATATTGATCCAATTCATTCCACTCTGACTTGTTGTCCATGATAAGTTATCTAATTATCAAACGTTTATCAATGTTTGTTTATTTAACAATCCCCAGTAGTATAGTTATCCACATCATAAACATGTTGCAGCTAGAATATATATATATATAAATATCAAATATATCCAGTATATTCCAGTACAATGTCTTCAGGTAGGATTAATATTTCACCCCCTGCCAAGTGTAAATAACCTGCCCAGGGTTTCAGTGGGATATTCGTATTTTTGAAAGCTCACAAAGGCTACCCCCCATGGGTGGTGTCCACCCCCACCAATTGAAAGTGGGCGCCCCAATAAATCCAACCTCAGCCCGATGATCCCATATAAGAGCTATTGATTCGGGGTGTTTTTGAACCCCCAGAGGGACCTTGTTGACCTTGTTGACCTTGAGGGAGGGGAAGGGAAGGGGGAGGGGGGTTCTTAATCCGTCAGTATTACAGTTGTCTCACTCCATTTTTGATCAAAGAAATCAAGCGAGAAATCGGACCTCTGCGAGTCCGAAGAGGCTTCGAAGCACCAGCAGCGTCTGCACAGCACTGAGACCTCGCCCGTCGCAGCGTCGGTTTGTGGTCGTTAAGGGACCCACTGTAGCAATAATTCAACTCCAATAATCAATGAATCTGGGATCTATAAATTAGAGCAATCAATGTTTTCAACAATTTTAAACATTTATATACACATTTGGATATAGCGTTTCACCAACCTGGTTTTGTGTCCACGAATCCACGCAACCCTATTCCGGTTCACATCCCATCTGGATAACCTACAATACATAAATACAATTTGGTGTCCGCTAGTGTATGTTGGTCTTATAAAACCGCTGTCAACCGCAATAATTATAGACACATTTACCTACCAGAAACTCTAAGTATAAAGACACAACTCAACTAAGCTAACGAACTGGGGCACCACCTTGTATCTTGTAGTGAACATAATTTCGAAAATTGCAATCAATTTCAGGTGGTTGTTCTTGACTGCCAACCTTCAATTGTGCAGAGGTCCGCCTTGTACATTCCCGACTTCATGGTATCAAATGTAGAAATCCCATGAAATCCCCAGGTGTCTCCTAAATTGGAAGATTCCCACGTCACCATGGGCTTCAATACTCAGATATGTGACGAATTTGAATGATTTGGAGTATCTCAGATATCTCTATTTTAACCTTCATATATCCGGATGGGGGGTTCCATAAAAAGTAGGGCTGCTGGAAGCAGCTGGGACATCCCACCAAGGCTTGCTGAAGCTTCATCACCCAAACTTCGATAGGGCACTGCCTGGCACAAAACGAAGGGTTTTACTGAGAAATGTCTGGTGACTTGCCAACATAGCTATCGAACATGGCTAATTATTGATGATCTACCTCTCAAATATGATGCTTTTCTGGAGGCTAAGTCTCACATGATAGGCTTTCGTTACGTGTTTTTTTTGGTTCAACTTCGAAACGAATCCAAGATGTCTGTGGGAATTTGACCCCTGGAGGCTTCACCGTCCTGAGCACGTCCTGATTTTTTGGTGAAGTATCCAGAATGCTACCGGTAATCAAACAAGGAATTGAACAATTCATCATTTATAGATATTGATTATCCAGTTCATAGATGATAATCCATGATTTATAGATTTATAGATGATTATTCCAGTTTAAATATGTTTCAATGCCAATCTGTAAATTGTTTAAGTGCCCGCCATGTTTGACTCCCGGACAACAGTCCCCTTCTACACCATCCATCATGGAACATATCTCCATGTCACACTTTTAACGTTACATGGGCCAACTTATGGGGCGTATAATCGTTGAAATCAGCAACAAAAACAACAATGCACCCCCCCAACTGCTAACCAAGCAGGACATGTTTACCGCATCATGTTGATGTCCTATGAGGTCTTGGAGAATGTCACGACCATTCTATGGGATTCAACTAAACTGCACACCCATCCATTGGTGATATCTCCACAACAAACAATTCTCAATGCGTGGCTACTAATTATGGGGTATACCACGACTGGGATAATTTACCATAGTTAGCGGCCTCAGGGTTGATAAGGGGGAATGGTTTACCCAACGACCTGACCTGGAATGATGGTGAATGTAGCCGTACCCGGTACCCCAAAAAAGAAAAAAGGCCCGACTTTTCAGGTCAGTGAAGTATGATCATTTACCCAGTATGCAAACATATACAAACAGCATCATTTTCTTAGATTGTAGATCTTTCTCCTATTGTATCTCTATCATAATCCCTCTTGTTGATGGTAAAATCCCTATTACAGTTCCGTATCCCCCAACTTCATCTTGCGGATCCCACCCTTGGGCGAAATCCAGCTGAACATGGCCTATGGAGGATTTACCAATGATCTTATAAACTAACAGTTTGCTATGGAAAATTACCAATTTAAATAGATTTATAATGATTTATAGGTGATTTATAGGTGATTTACCTCTAAAATGGTGGTTTTCAATGGCTATGCTCGTTTACCAGAGGCTACGATCACCAGGAATTGCCCTTCAGCAATGTCCCGACGTCGTCCCATGACGTCCGCGCACCCGTAGAGCACTGTGGCGTTTCACCAAGGCCCGGCA